AATGAATTAAGATGACACGTTATCTAAATATGAAATCTTTTGATACAGGATGTATGTCAACTTGTTAGATATTATAAATAACTATACTCTAATATTGTTACAAAAGATTAAAGGAAACATGATATATATCTGGGGATGAAGGCATTAACTTTCGACAATCTTCACTGCTTTAGTGAAGAAAAGTATTTGCATCGCAATGTCCTTTAAACTAAAATGACAATTACGACCGTACAAAAACACAGCATTACATTTTTGTTTTGGAACTATGGCGCAGAGCTTTTAGTTGTTCCCATATTTTTTTCTGAGCAGGGTTGTGTACGTTTGTAACTTTCAAAATCTCACATTTATCAGGATTAAACTGCATAAGTCGTGTTCATTCCCACTGCTGCAAGGCACTATGATATTTAGTCCATCTGCTAGGTCCTCGGTTGTTGGTGTCAACTGTCTCTCACAGGATCGTTATTTTCTGAATCAGCGCGAACCAGTACTTACGAAGTACCAGTTTTGAAGTCTTTGATTTTACTTACGGCTTGGAAAAAATCGAACAATTTCAAGTCCAGAAAGAGAAACACAAAAATAATGTAAATATTTTTTGGGGCCGCTAATTTGAAAACAATGGCAAACGTATTCGCAATTTTCTGTTTATAGTTAGCTTAATCTAATATTGTAAATTCTTATTATTTATTTCGATTCAATTAATTACGTCTCTTCAACTACTATGGGGGTGTTTAACGACCTTGACTATCCATGAGGGTCTCCCACGGTCGATAATACGTCTCTTTGCCGGCTGTATAAAAATAATAACTTTTGAAAAAAGGTAAAATAACAAAAATACCGAACTCCAATGAAAATTCAAAACGGAAAGTCCCTTATCAAATGACAAAATCAAAAGCACAAACACATCAAACGAATGGAAAACAACTGTCATATTCCTGATTTGGTACAGGCATTTCCTTATGTAGTTGAAGATATTTTAAATGATATGGTATTTAAGAAAAGTTGAATAAACAAATATTCAAGAAATATTTATATGATATGATTTTTTTAAACACTTTAACAGTTATATTTGTAAGATTACTTTATGTTCTAGTATGTTAAAATCTTTGTCTTCATCTTCATGTGATATGATATGGCGACACGTCCGTTGGACACGATTACACTCGGCGCGTCCGTCACATAACGATTAGTCCATATATACCCCTCCTTAACAATATCTGAAAATGACCAGACTCATAGAAATAAGAAGATATGGTATGAGTGCCAATGAGACAACTCTCAATCCAAGTCACAATGTGTAAAAAGTAAACAATTATAGGTCAAAGTACGGCCTTCAACACGGAGCCTTGGCTCACACCGAACAGCAAGCCATAAAGGGCCCCAAAATGACTAGTGTAAAAGTCTGTTAAAGATTTTATCTTGCCGAAAATGTCCGGTTGTATTCAGTTCCAGTCCTTAATAGTATCCGGATAAACATGCTATATTTGTGCAAGTCTGGGGAAACGATATTAATGCATGTATTTGGTGAGTCTTCCGGGTATTTTCAACTGCTCTGTTCGTATATGGGTTTTATGGTTGCTGTTGTCATTTTTTTTTCATTGTTTAGTACATAAATTATGCCGTTATAGTTTTCTCGTTTGAACTGTTTTACATTTGTCAATTCGGGGCCTTTTATATGACCGTGCGGTATGGGTTTGTTTATTTTTGAAGGCCGTACTGTGACCTATAGTTGTTAACTTCTTATTCATTTGGTCTCTGACTGGTCGAGAGTTGTCTCATTGGGAATCATACCCGTGACATCTTCTCATTTTTATATTTATTGTTTAGTCCTTTGTTCAGAAGTTTTAGTCTACTCTGTGTTCTTCTATCTTCTTTCTTAAAGTGAAACATGTGCTTGAAATCGAATTAAAAATAAAATGAACATTTAATTTGTAAAATATTTATCCGAATCATGGCAAGGAGACTCATAATCAAATTCCGATCCATTACACTATTATGTCCCAGTTAGCACCTACCTCATATTAGCTTACTATACGTTGTTGATTTTTCTAATTGCTGAAGGCCGTGAGGTGACATAAACTTGATTTGATCGACGGAATTTGGTGTCTAGTAAATAGTTGTCTCATCATTGGCATTAAGGTGGATAGGGTGTCTTCCTCCATCTTGGATTTTGAAATACCAGAAAGCAATCGGTCTAGATCTTTAATAGAATGTGCAAATTTTGAGAGTAGTAGGTAATTCATGTGTAAGAATTTTCATTTCAATATAGAAAATGACATGTTTTATCATATTTATGGTTGTATTTTACAAAAAACAGAAAACTTTTGTTTGATTCAATTTTTTCCAACTTTGCCACATAAGGGGAGGCAACTCAAATGTAAGGGCAGATAATTCAGATAAAGGTACTTTTATAATAGAATGTGTTAGGAATTTACCTATTTTATTATGTAGCAAGAAAACGGGTCCGGTAACCCCATTTTTTCTTTTTCTTATCTGAAAGCATACTTTCAAAGCTATCTTCTCATATTTTATCTCAAAATTCTATGGTGTAGTTTTCGTTTTATGGCTGAAAATTGGGTTTTCCATGCATAATCTATACAAAATCGGTCAATTTTGAACAACCTGTAGCGTGAAAATAAGCCCCGTGACCCATTCTTTTTATTATTATTTTTTTAAAAAGCATGATATAAACTACATTTTGGCAAATTATTAAAAAAATCTATGGATTATAATTTAGACACCCCATCTACCTTAACAGGACAGATAAAACCAGGACAGTTATTTTTGATACGTTTTCATCTGTAACTTTTGTTTTACTCATCATATTGTAAAAATTTAACTTGTATAATAAAGAACATGGTATTTACTTACATTATTTGTAAAAAAAAAATAAAATAAAAAATTAACAATATAAAAAAAATCTGCCAGGACAGTTAAATTTTAAGAAAAAAATGGCTGAAATTGCTGAGAAAAATTTACACAGTATAATTGTGACACAGTGTGAATGCCCTGTATGATGAATTTGTACAGCTGGGACCTGTGTAGGTGTAAAACTTGTCTCAGAAAGCCATTTTTGTTGTTGATGTTGATTGCAGTACAATGGAGCATAAGATGTGTTCTGGAAACCCGGGATTAATGGAAACTGTTTGAAAACGGAATGTTTTGTGCATAATTAACAATGTCGGAAGTTAAACACTTTCTATCTGAAATTAATTTTTGTCTACTTGTTTAAGTGTACCTACCCATGGATTTTTTTTCTGTTCAATTTCAATCGAAATTGGCGGAGATGGAAATTCAAGTTTTCTTTTTTTTTACCTGGTGGTGTCTCATCTAATGTAATTATGTTATCTAATCAAATTTAACTTTTAAATATACAATCAAATAGTGTTTCGAAATGGTTTTTTTTTCAACTGTATTCTTAATAAATAATTAGAACTTAAAACAAAAGATATCTTCTCATAGGTATTCATTACCACACGCTCGTTTACGGTTGACATAACAGAATACACAAATACACAGATTCAATGACTGGTCGTAAAGTTTGGCACGTGCCAACCAAATATTTAGCTGTTGGACAGATTTTTGAGGTATTAATCTATTATCAAATGAATATTTTTATCTTTTCCTAAAATTAATTGTTCAAACTTTACAACGAATAACAAAAATAACAATAATCTATTCAACTTTCTATTTCGATTTGAAACAAATTTTTCCACAAGTTAAGACATAATAAGCCTTTTTATTTACTTTAAAAATGAAAATTGTTCAATTTCTGTATTTTTATTTTATAACTGGGTCTGTTACTTTATAATAATAACACAATAGTATGCCAGACAATCGCAATAAAGAAACTATTTGATTTATAGTTAGAAATTGCACTCAGAAATTGCGTTGTTAATTTCCGCCATTAATACAGAAATTTAACGGAGTAGGCTACTGTCCTGGCAGATTTTTTTTGTGTTAATGAAATAAGAGTTCATATAATTTTATATTTTCATAAAGCTTATATTCTAAACTTTCCAATTAACCAAAATTTGCTTACCAGACATTCATTTTGAAGAAGATATTTCACTTTATATTTTGATTTTGAGCTAATTTCAACAAAATTTCTAACGTAATAGGCTATTGTCCTGGCAGATTTTTTTACCTTTAAAAATCGAAAAAAGTATTAAATTATAGATTTTTAGAATGATTATTCCCTAAACTTTATAATCGTACAAAAATAATATGCCAGACAGTTGTTTTGGAGAAATTGTTTCAATTATAAGTAAATTTTTCATGGCAATTTCAGCCATTTTTTTCTTAAAATTTAACTGTCCTGGCAGATTTTTTTTAACTTATTAATTTTTTATTTTAATTTTTTTGACAAATAATGTAAGTAAATACCCTTTTCTTTATCATACAATTTAAATTTTAACAATCTGTTGAGTAAAACAAAAGTAACAGATGAAAACGTATCGAAAAAAAACTGTCTTCTTCTTCTCTAGGTAAATTCCTCCGCAACGGAGCACCCGTGTCACACGGTAAACAAAAAAAAAACCTTATTTTCATTTAATATTGTTTAAAAACATGGAACGGACTAGATTAGTATATATACAATCCTTAAAAAAATATTGTTGTCCTAAAATCACGTAGTAAAGTAAAATCTATTTTACAAATATTTACTCCTACTATTTTATGTACATTAAGCATAAAATATTGTTAGTTAAGATTTCATAAAAGCACAGATCTAAAAGGACTCCTGGTTTTATCTGTCCAGTTTTTAGACCTTCCCCAATCGTAACCCTATATTATTCGTACGTTGTGGTGGTATGTCATCATACTTTAATCATTGGTGTTGTAGGTATATAAAAATGTGAACTAATATAAACTAGCGTTTGTGAATCAGTGTATTAAGTGTTAAGATAAGATGTTTTAAATCTTGTATCTGATGAATATTATTTGTTTTATTTTGAAGTAACGTATATTAACTGCAGGATAGGAACAATAAACCGTCACTTCCTGTTTAGAAGTCGAACCGCGGACGTGGAAAAATACGTCCGCATAAACTTAATGATAGGTTTGGGGTTAGTTTACATAGACAACTGACTAACTTTTTGTGTTGTCCCTATTATGTAGTAAATTTGCATTGAAAGCAGTAGCTTGGTAAATAGAAAGCCCAGCATACACGAATAAAGCACCAACATACATGTAACTGTTATACTAACCAGGACAATTCATTCATAAAATCGAAATTGGATTCTCATGTATTATGATGTTTTGACTAAGAAGGCATCAAGCACATATACAACATTGTTTGGACTAGGAGTTCCCGTGCATTTTAGGTTCTAATTTGCGAGAAATTGATCACTTCTTTTGATGCTGAACCTAAAATCCTGGACAGATAGCAATTAGTTAATAATGACTATTAATGTTCACTTATCATGTTATCTTGATATATTCTGAAGAAGACTAGCAACAAGATTATATATCTCTTAATCCTCTTGCTGCCAAAGAGACAAATGGCTTCTACACACAAAATAATAAATAAAGCAAACTGAATTAAATGCATTTTAAAACAAATGTCAACAAATAATACAGGATCAAAAGCTTGTTAGTAAGTACTACTGACTAATTTAGATTATTTACTAATTCTGTCATTCAGCATTTTCATGTAAAATGTCGCTTACATTTGAGTAATTTTTATGCCCCACTGTTGCGGAGGGGGCATTAAGTGTTACCGTTGTCCCTCCATCCCGAAATTTGGCTTCCGTTCTCTAACTTTAGTTTGCCTCAACCAAATTTTATAAAACTTATACACAATGCTTATTACCACAAAACAGATCAAGTTCGAAATTGGGTGGCGTCACTTTTACTGTTTAGAAGTTATGCCTCTTTATTAACATAAAAATTATAAAAAAAAAATGCTGAATTTTTCGTTTCCGTTCTCTGACTTTAGTTTGCCACAACCAAATGTTATGAAACTTATGCCTATAAACACATAAAGGTCTTAACTACGTGAATCCTGCATCTGTATGTGGAAGTTGACTCATGCATGTTTTTAAGTGGGGGCATCTGTGGCCGATAGACACATTCTTCATTTATTTTTTTTAATAAACAATTTAATCATAGCAAAATATTTTCATTTATAATGGCTTTACCTAATAAATAATTACAGACATGATAAGCATGATAAGATTTGTACTTAATTACATGAAATATAAATATTCACAATATACGCTTATTAAGAGTCCTGACTGAAAAAATATTTGTCTGAATTCAGAATGCCACGATTGACTTTGTATTTGTTTTTCGATAAAGGTACATGTATGTTGAGCGATATACATGAACTGAGATATAACATTTTCAATGAATTTGTACCTGTTTCACCATGGAAGCAATAATGTAAAAATCTTTCTTCAATCAGAATAGGGATGTTAAATTTGTAAGTGGCCTGATGATAGGCAAACTATGATTCCTTATCATATCAATCTTTTCAGTGGTAGTCTTAATTTTCCGTCCTTCATCTCGGTCCATTTCTTTTGCCCTAAATAAAATATTGCATGAAATACTGGCCTCTATGTTAAGCAAACAGCAATTAATCAATTAATGAAAACAAAGGTGATTCTTTTAAAAATATGACATGTATGCCAATTACATGTACCATGTGTATTTCCTCATAAAAGATAGAGATCAATATATAATATTTTCATGTCGTGAATGATGATTGCTTCAGGCTAACATGCATAATACATGTAATATATGTACATATATTTTCTTGCTGTGTTGAAGACCCATTGGTGGGATTTTCTTGCTGTGTTGAAGACCCATTGGTGGGATTTTCTTGCTGTGTTGAAGACCCATTGGTGGCCTTCGGCTGTCTTGTGCTCTTTGGTCGGGTTGTTGTCTCTTTGACACATTCCCCATTTCCATTGATTTCCATTCTCAATTTTATGTAGACCATAGGAATAATATTTGGATTTTGTTCCCTCGTATTCCTACTGTTCCACAAGATTTATTGTGCTAAGTGAAGCCAACAAAATAACAATAACGAACATGATTAAGATAAAGACCAAATTAATATTGATAATAATAAGTAAAAAAATTTTCCTCTCTTACTGAAACAAGACTTAAAATGTAAAATTTAATCTGACACGTACATTGTATAATACCTTACAACACAAAGTACATGTATGTCATAGAATCGGCTGCTCAGGCTCAGGGTATTGTTTATTTTTATTTGTTCGTACATCATTTGTGTACATTGTATTTTAATTAATTTTTTTTTGTATGGGGTGCCATTGTTTTGTTTATAAATATAATTATTTTAGGATTTTTAATATTATCATATATAAACATTTAACTTGACATTACCATACCTAAAGGGCTTATAAAATTATTAGCTACATGTACATGTATGTGGTTTTTTTTTATTTTCAAAAATTTTTGTGGTCGTATATTGGTATGACGTTGGCGTCGTCGTCGTCGTCGTCCGAAGACACATTAGTTTTCGCACTCTAACTTTAGTTTAAGTGAATGGATCTCAATGAAATTTTACCATAAGGTTCAATACAACAAAAGGAAGGTGGGGATTGATTTTGGGGGTTATAGTACCAACAGTTAAGGAATTAGGGGCCAAAAATAAGCATTTTTGTAACTTCCAGACATAACTTGTGTGTAAGTGTATGGATCTCTCTGACATTGTACCACAAGGTTCCATATCACAAAGGGAATGCTGGGATTGATTTTGGGGGTAATTGCCTCCAAATTTTAGGAATTAGGGGCCAAAAAGGGGCAAAAACAAGCATTTTTCTAGTTTCATGACAAAAACTTGTGTGTAAGTGTATGGATCTTTATGAAATTGTACTACAAGGTTCCATATCACAAAGGGAAAGCTGGAATTGAGTTTGGGGGTAATTGCCCAAAAAGTTTAGGAATAAGGGGCCAAAAATAAGCATTTTTCTAGTTTCCAGACAATAACTTGTGTTCAAGTGTATGGATCTCTCTGAAATTGTACTGCAAGGTACCATACTACAAAGGGAAGGCTGGGATTGATTTTGGGGGTAATTCCCTCAAAATTTTAGGAATTAGGGGCCATAAAAGGGCAAAAAAACAAGCATTTTTCTAGTTTCAGGACAATAACTTGTGTGCAAGTGTATGGATCTTCATGAAATTGTACTGCAAGGTTCCATATTACAAATGGAAAGCTGGGTTTGAGTTTAGGGGTAATTGCCCTAAACGTTTAGGAATTTGGGGCCAAAAATAAGCATTTTTATACGCCCGTTTACGGGACGTATTATGGTATACCGATGTACGTCCGTCTGTCCGTCCGTCCGTCGTCAACATGTCGGACATTAACTCAAAAACGCTTTAACCAATTTGCTTAAAACTTTGGTGAATTGTTTATATCTATTGACGTGAGCTCCCTTTCGTTTTTTATAAATTTTAGATTTTACGTTTCCGAGTTATGGGGTTTTATTCATTAAAAAAAGGGGGATTTTCCAGTTTTAGGACAATAACTCAAGAATGCTTTCACCAACTTGCAAGAAATTTTGGTTAATTGTTTATATCTATTGACATGAGCTCCCTTTGGATTTTTATAAATTTTAGATTTTACGTTTCCGAGTTATGGGGTTTTATTCATAAAAAAAGGGGGATTTTCCAGTTTTCGGACCATAACTCAAAAATGCTTTCAGCAGTTCTCATGAAACTTTGATGAATTGTTGATATCTATTGATGTAAGCTCCCTTTAGAATTTTATAAATTTTAGATTTTACATTTCCGAATTATGGGGTTTATTCATTAAAAAAGGGGGGATTTTCCAGTTTTCAGACAAAAACTCAAAAATGCTTTCAGCAATTCGTATGAAACTTTGGTGAACTGTTTATATCTATTGATGTAAGCTCCCTTTAGAATTTTATAAATTTTATTTGTTTATAGTCTGACAACAGATTTACTAAGTATTGCGCAACAGCACAGTGTATTGCACAACAGCAAGAAATCTTTAATTGAATATAAATTTAAGAAATATAACCAACTTCAAGTTCTTTGACTACATTTATTCAGAAACCTATAATAGATGTATGTCAAATATTTAGTTAAAATCCAAATTCAGACCTGTATCAAGCTTGAATATTGTGTCCATTTTTGCCCCAACTTCAGGGTTAGACCTCTGCGGGCGTATCCAGCTGCGCTCAGCGAAGCAGTTTATTCTAGTTTCCAGACAATAACTTGTGTTCAAGTGTATGGATCTCTCTGAAATTGTACTGCAAGGTACCATACCACAAAGGGAAGACTGGGATTGAGTTTGGGGGTGATGAATCATAAGGGGGTTCAAAAAATTTTTGGGGGGGGGGGGGATTTTTTTTTCCTTTTTTTTCTTTAAAATTTACCATTTTTAATTGGTTATTTCTGATTTATATATAAAAGCAAATAATAATGATATGGTTTGAATAGGTAAATAAAAATTTTTAAGTTCTTAGACCACTTTCATTCTGTGTCAGAAACCTATGCTGTGTCAAATATTTAATTACAATCCAAATTCAGTGCTGTGTCAAGCTTGAATGTTGTGTCCATACTTGCCCCAACTGTTCAGGGTTCGACCTCTGCGATCATATCAAGCTGCGCCCCAGCGGAGCATTTTATTTTATTTTATATGAAATATAAAAGAAAAACAACTGTATTTCTAGGTTAAGAATTTGTATTCTTCAATAATGTTGTATTATTAATATCGTTCATGACAGTCTTGGAACAATAATAGTTGAAAAAAAATGACTCTTTATAAAATTACATTGCTTTTCCCAATTACGGCTAAATTGACACGTGGAAAATTATAGACAGCAGGTAAGTGCAGTTCTACCTAGGGGCATTCGTTTTGCAACATGACAAATATGAAATGTCAATAAGCTTTTGGCAGTACAAAGCAAAAAAAAAAACTCGGCAGCATGAGGGTTAATACAAAGATAGAGAAGGATATATATTTAATATATATATATTGAATTTGACTGTAACATGTTTTACCATGTGCCTTTGGCTTTGTACTGATATGATTAGAAGATAGTCATGACAGTGTTTGTCTGACATTTAGTTTTCCAAGTTAAGAAAAAAGTACATGTACACATGATGATAAAATAAAAATACCAATCTACAAGGAAAATTCAAAATTGAAAGTCCTTTATCAAATGGTAAATTCAAAAGCTCAAACACATCAAATGGATAGAAAACAACTGTCATATATATGATATTCCTGACTTGGTACAGGCATTTCCTTATGAAGAAAATTGTGGATTAAACCTGTCATAATTGAAAGAACAATTTATTAAAACTATACAATGTTGAAATATATTAATAAGATGAATAATCTTTTATAAATAAAACTAAATTTGTATGTTTCATTTACAAGAACATTAAACTCTATAACCAATGACATGAATGTATTGATAACTTCTATTTAATATTTTATGTCGTAGTTAAAAAAAACCAATTGGTACATCATGTACACAGTGTTACAGTTGAAAACACGATCAACTAAACTTTCTTTTGTAGGCCAACATGACATGAGGCTATAACTTAAAATAAAAACCTAGCTAACAGACCTTAATCTTCAGAGATACAGAATGATGATCAGCAACAGAAAACTCCAGTATTGTAAAATCATCTTGGCCACATCACTAGTGTGGTTCCTGATAGATGTCATTCTACTCATGTATTATACTGATTGTGCTGCTATGGGAAACTCTAGTGATTGTAATAATAAAGACAATGCAAAACAACATAAAAAAGAAGAAAAAGGATTTTTTGAAAAAATTTTGCCTAAAAGTATGTAAATTAAAGTGCTTGCATTTACCAAGTTTACCATATTTACTTGTACATGTATTCCAGAAGTGAGTTGTTGCTTTTTGTATTTGTTGGTTTTTATATTTTAGAAGTGAGTTGTTGCTCTTTATATTTCAGAAATGATTTGTTTTTGTATTTCCAGTCACTTATCATATCATGTACATAGGATGTATGTAAATCATAAATATCAAAAGGTTCACACTGTTGTGTTTGAAGGAATTTATAATCATTCAGTAGTGGTTCAAACTCCAAACTGGAATCTAATCTTTTCTAGGCTTTTTTGTAGCAGATTATGTATCATCCTTTGTCCTGATTAATTTACAATCATTTTCAAAAAATTGTATGATTTTACTATTTACTGTGGATTCATTTATTTTCGTGGGTACCAATTTTCGTGGATTGAGGAAAACTTGCATATTCTTGGATATTTAAATTCGTGGTTTTGGCAAAGTCTGCATATATTCCTGTATAAAATTTGTATTTCGTTGAACATTTAAATTCATGGTTCCCCTGTACCCACGAAATCCACGAAAATTGGTATCCAACGAATATTAATGAATCCACAGTATGCAATTTCTGGGGTTGTGACTCTGACTGTGAGGGGCAAGTTAATGGCTTTCATACAATACAACCAATTCAGTAATGAGTTTCATCGTAAAACACACAATTTATATTGGTTTGATAATGTAAACATTCACATCAAGTCATTCAGAAAATAAAATGTTTGTCCTTGTCCAATTCCTATTTTCAGAACCAGCAATTAAACAATCTTTTGAAGCAAGAAGCCTTTGGATTTCTCCTTTACCGGAGAAAAAACAACGTAGGTACCCCAAGCAAGGTGGCTTATCATTTGCATGTTGGAAGTAACAATTATTGTGCTTTCATATGGTGATGGTTGTCGTGTACTATTATATGTAGGGAATTTAGAGAAATGTGACCAAAATCAAAAATATCAGCAGTTCTAAGGATTACTATAATCACATTAGATATATACTTATATATTCAAAGAAATATAAAATTTGCAAATTTTGGCAAAACCACAAAATTAAGTATCCATGAAAATAAATGAATCTACAGTACACATTGTCTTTTGTTTAACCTTTGTTGACCTTGGATGACAATAATTTATATTAAGATTAATCAGAAAGACTTTCAGGACCGTACAGGGATTCAAAATTGGTAGATATTTTGTTCTCATGGTTTTGCTAAACCCAAGGGTATGATAAGCATGATAAGGCCCTTTTGCTCCTTTAAATTGATTATCACAAAGTATTAGAAATCTATCAAATAATATTCACCATGAGTTGACAAGTCTCAATTCTAATACTCAAACATCAGAAATAATATACTGCATGGTTCTCACTAAGGCGTGTCCATGAGTCCTGATCATGAACTCATGAAAATCTGTCTTGACTCATCGTTTTCAAAACTGTAGAGTCCAAAGATGCATCAAGAGTGTAAAATGTTGTATCAACTGGGCACAAATATCAGCATTTAATGACAAAAGTTTAAAAATAATCAAAAGTTGATGTCATTTCTTCGCTCTATTTTGTCATGGGGACTAAATTGATAAATAATATAGCATTGAAATTTCATCTTCTCACTGTTGGACTCACCATAATCAAAAATGACAAGTCCCTGGACTCACCTTTAATATTCCTTAGTGAGAACCCTGATACTGTATTTGAATTTTGTCTTACATATTTGTTTTAGATTTACAAAATCTGTCAAAATATATAATCATTTTTTAAATCTCATTTTGACATATTTGAATACCATGTATTAGTATAAGCTAATAATTTAATTCAACAAAAATTTAACTGAAAAAATATGTGTAAATGGTGACTTTTGGTCATATTTACATCACAAATGACAATCTATAAAAATTGTACTTAAATGACCAGGTTATCATTTAAATCACTAAAATTAGAATTGATGATTTTATTTTTTGTGCAATTTCAGGGACCAAATAATGGCTTTTATCATATCTCTCCTTTATTGTGGTACTGCTAGATCATGTAGATAATAATAGATTTTATATTATTTTAAATTCAAACATTTTTAGCTAAGCTGCTGCCAAATTGGTAACGGCCGTAATAATATTTACTTAATTCACTGAATCATGTTTGAAATAAAACTAAACTGTTTATTTTTTTAAACATCCATTTTATTGTCTCACCTTGATGGAGTCAAAAAGCGAGACTTAGGTATGCTGTTTCCGACGGCAGCGGCGTCAACAATGTATTAGTTTGTGATTAGGTCAGTTTATGGGGAACCACTGGTAGGTCAATGATATTTGTTATGCAGTGAGTTGTTTTAGCATTGACACATCTCATTTCTATGGAGACTATTTGGCCCTGCCCCCTAAGTCATGGTCTATTGACTTTGAAATTTGCTTACTTAACATGTATTAGTTTGTGATTAGGTCAATTTAAGGGGAACCACTAGTGGAAGGTCAATAATATTTGGTATGCAGATGCATAAGCATTAGCACATCTGTCGATGATATTATTAGCATTTGCACGTCTTCTTTTCCATGGAGATTATTTGCCACCAGTGACCACCCCCTATCAAGGTTCATTGACTTTGAAACTTTTACAATTGCTTACAAGTTAAAGTTTGTGTTTAGGTTAGTGTTTAGGGAACCACTTATGATAAGTCAACAGTATTTGGTATGTAGTTTTAAAAGCATTGGCATTTCTGATCTCCATGGAGATTATTTGGTCCTGCACCTTAAGTCGTGGTTCATTGACTTCGAATGTTTTGCATAGTTTCTATGTTTAAATATTGCCATTTGGATTCAATATTTGCATTGTTTTATCTAAATTACAAAAAGGTGAGACATATCTCTGTGTCATCAGTTTATTACTGAAATTACATAGCTATATCATACATTGTAAGTAGGTCCTATTTATTGAAATCCCTTCTATTTTGGGAAACTAAGGAAAATCACCAACTTTTATCCACATATATACTAATATAGAGATGAAGAAAATGAACCTTTTTTCCTGATTATATTTTGGCAGATATATTGAGAAGGAACCCAACAGGACCAGGGGAGATGGGTAAAGCTGTGGTTATACCTCAAGACAAGCAGGCAGAATCAAAGGAAAAGTTTAAGATTAATCAGTTTAATTTACTTGCCAGTGATATGATGTCTTTAAATAGAAGTTTGCCTGATTATAGAATGGAAGGGTAAGTTATCCAGGAAAAAGGCTGTGTCTTGTCTGTGATAGAAAAGGCTAATTGCAAAACCTGTGTAGGCTTATTTGACAAAGATCCACTAAGTGTCACTAACAGTCAGGGACAATACTTATATTATACAAGTCAGTTTTGTTTACCTGCAGATGTAAGTAATATTCGCTTGTTTTAGTAAATTCGAAAGATTTTTATTTTACTTTTAAGGTTTGGATAATCTCCCCTTAATCTTCTCCAAAAATTTACTTATACAAGTAAATTTTTTATACAACCTCTTAAAAGTTTTGGGAGGCCAAAACATGTTTTACAATATTTTTCTGGTTTGCTAATTATTTTTTACATAGAGTTCAACCTTTATTTGAAGTACTAAACAAAGAAGTCTATTGCGCACATATGTTAAGTAACTGTACAAGGCCTCTAAAAATTGCTCCCTGGAGGCTTGTAAATAAGCTGTATTTTGAAGATAACAGACAAATGAGATTTTCATTGTCCATGAAATTATACTTTTATGAATAGCAAAGACTATTAATGATAGACAATTAAACACTCCAGTAGAGCAATTTCAGCTAGAGAAATTCAAGGAAAGAATAAAATAAGACTTTTTTACTTATATAAAGTAAAAAAATATCTGAATGTTTAAGGGATATAACTCTACCTCCAAAATAATTTACCTATTCCAGTAAATAAAAGACACTTGAATAAGAATAACCCCTGACTGACTAAGGACTTATACATGTATGTAAAGTTTGGGAGTACATCGGCCAAGTTTACACATCAATAATCACCACAATGTTTAAATACATTACAAAAACATTTCAGGCTTCATGGTTATCATTTCTTATCAGTGAAACAGTTCGGGCTTCATGGTAATCATTTCTAATCAATGAAACAGTTCAGGCTTCATGGTAATCATTTCTTATCAGTGAAACAGTTCGGGCTTCATGGTAATCATTTCTAATCAATGAAACAGTTCAGGCTTCATGGTAATCATTTCTAATAAATGAAACAGTTCATGTTACATGGTTATCACTTCTAATCAATGAAACAGTTCATGTTACATGGTAATCATTTCTAATCAATGAAACAGTTCAGGCTTCATGGTAATCATTTCTTATCAATGAAACAGTTCAGGCTTCATGGTAATCATTTCTAATCAATGAAATAGTTCAGGCTTCATAGAAATCATTTCTAATCAGTAAAACAGTTCAGGCTTCATGGTAGTCATTTCTAATCAATGAAACAGTTCAGGCTTCATGGTAGTCATTTCTAATCAATGAAACAGTTCAGGCTTCATGGCAATCATTTCTAATCAATAAAACAGTTCAGGCTTCGTGATATTCATTTCTAATCAATGAAACAGTTCAGGCTTCATGGTATTCATTTCTAATCAATGAAACAGTTCATGTTACATGGCAATCATTTCTAATCAATGAAACAGTTCAGGCTTCATGGTAATCATTTCTAATCAATGAAACAGTTCAGGCTTCATGGTTATCATTTCTAATCAATGAAACAGTTCAGGCTTCATGGTAATCATTTCTAATCAATGAAACAGTTCAGGCTTCATGGTTATCATTTCTAATCAGTGAAACAGTTCATGTTACATGTTAATCATTTCTAATCAATGAAACAGTTCAGGCTTCATGGTAATCATTTCTAATCAATGAAACAGTTCAGGCTTCATGGTAATCATTTCTAATCAACGAAACAGTTCAGGCTTCATGGTAATCATTTCTAATCAATGAAACAGTTCAGGCTTCATGGTTATCATTTCTAATCAATGAAACAGTTCAGGCATCATGCTAATCATTTCTTATCAATAAAACAGTTCAGGCTTCATGGTTATCATTTCTAATCAATGAAACAGTTCAGGCTTCATGGTAATCATTTCTAATCAATGAAACAGTTCAGGCTTCATGGTAATCATTTCTAATCAATGAAACAGTTCATGTAACTTGGTAATCATTTCTAATCAATGAAACAGTTCAGGCTTCATGGTAGTCATTTCTAATCACTGAAACAGTTCAGGCTTCATGGTAATCATTTCTAATCAATGAAACAGTTCAGGCTTCATGGTAATCATTTCTAATCAATGAAACAGTTCAGGCTTCATGGTAATCATTTCTAATCAATGAAACAGTTCAGGCTTCATGTTATCATTTCTAATCAATGAAACAGTTCAGGCTTCGTGATAATCATTTCTAATCAATGAAACAGTTCAGGCTTCATGGTAGTCATTTCTAATCAATGAAACAGTTCAGGCTTCATGGTAATCATTTCTAATCAATGAAACAGTTCAGGCTTCATGATAATCATTTCTAATCAATGAAACAGTTCAGGCTCCATGGTAATCATTTCTATTCAATGAAACAGTTCAGGCTTCATGGTATTCATTTCTAATCAATGAAACAGTTCAGGCTTCATGGTTATCATTTCTAATCAGTGAAACAGTTCATGTTACATGGTAATCATTTCTAATCAATGAAACAGTTCAGGCTTTGTGATAATCATTTCTAATCAATGAAACAGTTCAGGCTTCATGGTAATCATTTCTAATCAATGAAACAGTTCAGGCTTCATGGTTATCATTTCTAATCAATGAAACAGTTCAGGCTTCATGGTTATCATTTCTAATCAATGAAACAGTTCAGGCTTCATGATAATCATTTCTAATCAATGAAACAGTTCAGGCTGCATCATTATTATTTCTTATCAATGAAACAGGCAAGTCATTACTGTGTCCACCCTTGTAATAATTTCAGACATTTGTATTTTCAGTTGTAAAAGAAAGTCCTATCCTACAGATTTACCAAAAACAAGTTTAGTAATAGTTTTCCATAATGAGGCTTGGTCAACATTACTACGTACTGTTCACAGTATTATAAATAGATCTCCACCTGAATATTTAGAAGAAATTATACTGGTAGATGATGCCAGTGAAAGAGGTAAGGGAAGCCATTAATAATCTTGTTTTCACCAAAGTCATGATCGTGTAGCCTTCTGTTGTTATGTGACATTAATTTTTCTGAGCTGATTGAGTTCAAATTTTATAGTTTTCAGCAGCCATTTAGCTAAATGTAATGTCATTTTTGTATAACAAATATTTAAGGAACATTGAGAATAAAATTTATACATGATAGATTTTTGTTGAAAATTCCTGAAAAAGAGTTTATTGTATATTTGTGTTATATTCAATTAAAAACATATAGATAGCCAGACATACTTATCAGTAAATTTTAGCTTCTAAATTTCAATTTATTGGTTAAACACAAATTTATCATCTACTCTCACGAAACAGGAGTACTATAGAGTTATCCTTCTTGTTTACCTGATATTTCACAAAGATGTTCAAAACAGATTAACATTGCAAAATTATATCCCCATGTAAATTCATAGATTTCTTTTGAACTTATTTTTTGATAACGATTGAACAGCACATTTTGACATGGGTAGGCATTATATTTTTAATATTTCTATCATGACTGAATTGAGTGTAAGCGAGGTGTTAAATACACGAAAGAATTATTTCGATTCTACTATGAAAATTCAGACCTTTTTTTGTAAGAAAATTTTGCAAGGCAGCCTTTTTTTATTTAATGAAGGAAAAATTTTGAAAACTATTTTACAATATGAAAGTGTATGAATATTTCTTTAAAGATTTTATTAAATTTCATGATGAGCAACTCCTGCATAAATGTCGATTTTGATCTTCAGCATCTTTTAAAATACAACTGACATTTCAAATTCAATTTTGATGTCCAGCACATGAATCTCCATTATTTGATTGAATGAGAACATGACTTTGTTTTACAAAGTGACAGAAGAGCATCGTATTAGAATGTTGCAACAATTTTACAAGATTTGCAAAAAAAGAATTGTAATATTATAGATAACACAAAAGCACATATGGGTAAGTATACAGAGCAGGTTTATAATGGCATTGTTTCTTTCTTAGAGGTGATTATAGGGTTAGCATTATATACTGGGAAGTTTGCTTGAATTAACCATACACACATATTATATATAAACATTTTTATGCTAAGTTTGTCATTATTCCAATACTTTATTTGTCACAGCCATTTTTCACTCTCTCAATTATTTCCCTTTAAAATATATTGATAAATGATAAACAAAATGACTAAGCATCAAATTTTGTTCATGCTAATTAAGGATAAGTTTAGTTTCACATACACCTGCAGAGTTTGCAAAAAGTGGTGGTCCAAAAGACTTGACCATGAAAAGTTTGTAAAGGACCAACAGAATTTTGGTATTATGCAATAGAAATAATAGAAAGGACCAGCAGATTTTCTTCAAGGACCATCCGTGGAAAAAGATTTCGCAAACTCTGCACCTTATTACAGGATAAAGTTCCTATGTGCTCCTTTGAATGGTTCTTTAGTTATCTCTCTTTTCTTTGAGAAACTACAAGTGTGAAACACTTGTGACCAGCCTGAGACAAAGCATCAAGGAATCTCCAGTCACCTCCTATTTACATATTTTTACGTAACAGTTGAATTTCTTTGTCTTTGTTATTTTAAAATGTTAAGTGTTTGTTTTCAATTCCACAATTAACTGAAAAGGATCAAATGTTGATTTTATTTTTATTCAGTTTGATGGCGTTAAAAATAAGAGCATGCATTTTTTTATTGTTTTTTTTATGGATTTTTTGTTTTTTATTTTTTATTGCCTACTTTTTATACGACCGCAAAAAAAAATTGTGGTCATATATTGGTATGACGTTATCGTCGTCGTCTGAAGACACATTGGTTTTCGCACAATAACTTTAGTTTAAGTGAATGGATCTCTATGACATTTTACCATAAGGTTCAATACCACAAAAGGAAGGTTGGGATTGATTTTGGGGGTTATGGTACCAACAGTTAAGGAATTAAGGGTCAAAAAGGGGCCAAAAATAAGCATTTTTGTAACTTCCAGACAATAACTTGTGTGTTAGTGTATGGATCTCTCTGACATTGTACTGCAAGGTTCCATATCACAAAGGGAATGTTTGGATTGATTTTGGGGGTAATTGCCTCAAAATTTTAGGAATTAGGGGCCAAAAAAGGGGCAAAAAACAAGCATTTTTCTAGTTTCATGACAATAACTTGTGTGTAAGTGTATGGATCTTTCTGAAATTGTACTACAAGGTTCCATATTACAAAGGGAAAGCTGAAATTGAGTTTGGGGGTAATTGCCCAAAACATTTAGGAATAAGGGGCCAAAAATAAGCATTTTTCTAGTTTCCAGACAATAACTTGTGTTTAAGTGTATGGATCTCTCTGAAATTGTGCTGCCAGTTACCATACCACAAAGGGCAGGCTGGGATTGATTTTGGGGGTAATTGCCTCAAAATTTTAGTAATTAGGGGCCAAAAAGGGGCAAAAAACAAGCATTATTCTAGTTTCAGGACAATAACTTGTGTGTAAGTGTATGGATCTTTATGAAATTGTACTAAAAGGTTCCATATCACAAAGGGAAAGCTGGGTTTGAGTTTGGGGATAATTGCCCTAAACGTTTAGGAATTTGGGGCCAAAAAGGGGCCAAAAAACAAGCATTTTTACAGTTTCCAGACAATAACTTGTGTTCAAGTGTATGGATTTCTCTTAAATTGTTCTGCAAGGTACCATACCACAAAGGGAAGGCTGGGATTGAGTTTGAGGGGTTGAATATTTTTTTCCTTTTTTTCTTTTTTTTTTTTTTCTTAAAAATGTTCCTTTTTAAGTTGGTTATTTTTGAATTATATATAAAAGCAAATAATAATGATATGGTTTGATTTCATCAAAAAATGAAATATTGGGGTTCTTTGATATGCTGAATCTAACCATGTATTTAGATTCTTATTTTTTGGTCCTGTTTTCAAATTGGTCTACATTAAGGTCCAAAGGGTCCAAAATTAAACTTAGTTTGATTTTAACAAAAATTGAAATCTTGTGTTCTTTGATATGCTGAATCTAACTATGTATGTATTTAGATTTTGGATATTGGACCATAATAGGTTAACCTAAATTTTTTAAGTTCTTAGACCACATTCATTCTGTGTCAGAAACCTATGCTGTGTCAAATATTTAATCACAATCCAAATTCAGAGCTGTATCAAGCTTGGATGTTGTGTCCATACTTGCACCAACTGTTCAGGGTTTCGACCTCTGCGGTCGTATCAAGCTGTGCCCAGCGGAGCATTTTATTTTGCTTTATGATGAATTTGATAGTTTATAACCAGGATGTTCTAAATAGCTAACAAATGTACATAATTGATTAGTTACATTGTAAATTGACCTTATATTTTTCAATATTACAGTATGGTCCTTCCTTTTAAATAATGAAAACCCATTAAAATTTGATATTCACTAATTAACATATGTTTAATAGTGTAGTTATTGGTACTAATTGTATGAAGTTATTGATACTAATGTTATATTTTATCCAGTGTTGGTTTCAGCTACTAATTATAACATAGTGGGTGCTTATGGTGCTTCACATTTCCTTTTTATTCAATGCACAAATTATTTTGTTGTATGTTAATAGTGAAAAATAGTGTGTGAGTTATTACTAGCTTATTATTATTTATCATATAACACAGAATTATTTAAAGCAGGTAACCAATATGTGTACTGATGGATGATTTAAAAGTTAGTGGACAAGTTGTTTTAGATCTACACTTTTTATTAGTGCCCTACCGACAAAGTCGAAGGGGACTTTAGGTTTGCACTCCGTCTGTCTGTCTGTCTGTCCATCCGTCAGTCAGTCAAATCAGTTTTCCACAATTTTTTTTCTTTGTGCTTGAAGATATTGATTTGATATTTGGTGTATTGTTATATCATGACAAGTTACAGATCAAGTTCGAATTTTGCTCCGGTCTGTTAATTTTTTGCAGAGTTATGGTCCTTGGACTTAGAAAATTCACTCAAATAATCAGTTTTCTACACTTTTTTTCGTCATGCTTGAAGATATTGATTTGATAATTAATATTATAGTTTTATAATGACAAGTTTCAGATCAAGTTCGAATTTTGTTCCGGTCTGATAATTTTGTGCAGAGTTATGGTCCTTGGACTTAGAAAATTCACTCAAATAATCAGTTTTCCACACTTTTTTCGTCATGCTTGAAGATATTGATTTGATAATTAAGTCTCCCAAACGAAGTTTGGGAAGACTTATTGTTTTTGCTCAGTTCTTATTATTATTATTATTCTTCTTCTTCTTCCGCCGCTTTTAAATTTGAACTTGTCCGCACCCGTTCTCCAAAACTGCTTATCAGATTAACTTAGGGTTTCACAATATGTTAGACTAACATGTCTAGTGGTGCAATCAGGGTTTTGTTTTTGCAATGGGGTTTATAAAGGGGTACTTTGAGGGGCAAAAAGAAGAGGGTTTTACTATAGAACCCTATGGGATTTTATTTTTAAAAATTTTCAAATGATTATAAATTGAAAACCGTTTGTGATAGACACAATCTTTTTAATTGAAAATGTTCTAAATGATAAAGCCCATTAAATGAAATACAGGGTTAGTCCCCAGGGGTCACCCCCACCCCCTGCCATTTAAGAAAGTTCTAATACCTTGTAAGTGGTCAAGATCCCCACCCCTAAACCATATATATTCTGGTTTGTCATGCTAAGATGGTTTGAATGATATACAGGGTTAGTCCCCAGGGGTCATCCCGACCCCCTGCCATTTGAGAAAGTTCTAATATCTTGTAAATGGTCGAGATCCCTACCCCTAAACCATATATATTCTGCTTTGTCATGATAAAGCACATCAGATGAAATACAGGGTTAGTCCCCAGGGGTCACCCCCACCCCCTGCCATTTAAGAAAGTTCTAATATCTTCTAAGTGGTCAAGATCCCCACCCCTAAACCATATATATTCTGGTTTGTCATGCTAAGATGGTTTGAATGATATACAGGGTTAGTCCCCAGGGGTCATCCCGACCCCCTGCCATTTAAGGAAGTTCTAATATCTTGTAAATGGTCGAGATCCCCACCCCTCAACTATATATATTCTGGTTTGTCATGATAAAGCACATCAAATGAAATACAGGGTTAGTCCCCAGGGGTCACCCCCACCCCCTGCCATTTAAGAAAGTTCTAATATCTTCTAAGTGGTCAAGATCCCCACCCCTAAACCATATATATTCTGGTTTGTCATGCGAAGATGGTTTGAATGATATACAGGGTTAGTCCCCAGGGGTCATCCCGACCCCCTGCCATTTGAGAAAGTTCTAATATCTTGAAAATGGTTGAGATCCCCACCCCTAAACCATATATATTCCTATTTGTCATGTCTCGAACATTTGAATGACGTATACAGTCAGTCCCCGGGGGTTCCCCCCACCCCCAATGTTCTAATATCTTGTAAATGGTTGAGATCCCCGCCCCTAAACCATATATATTCCTGTTCGTCATGTAATGAACATTTGAATGACGTATAGGGCCAGTCCCCAGGGGTTCCTCCCCACCCCCAATGTTCTAGTATCTTGTAAATGGTCGAGATCCCCACCCCTAAACCATATATATTCTGGTTTGTCATGCCAAGATGATTTGAATGATATACAAGGTTATTCCCCAGGCATCACTAATGCATATAACTTTACTGGACCAAACCAATTTTCACTAGACGTTGCCCAATGTCAGGCGACCCTGGGAATTACGAATTATGGGAGCTTCGTTTGGGAGACTTCGTAACAGCATCCTGTTACAATCATTACTTGTTAATATATAGTTTTATACTGACAAGTTTCAGATCAAGTTCGAATTTTGTTCCGGTCTGATGATTTTTTGCAGAGTTATGGTCCTTGGACTTAGAAAATTCACTCAAATAATCAGTTTTCCTCACTATTTTTCGTTATGCTTGAAGATATTGATTTGATAATTGGTATATAGTTTTATCATGACAAGTTACAGATTAAGTTTAAATTTTGTTACGGGCTGGTGATTTTGTGCAGAGTTATGGTCCTTGGACTTCGAAAATTCACTTAGATAATCAGTTTTCCACACTTTTTCGTCATGCTTGAAGATATTGACTTGATGTTTGTTATATAGTTTACACCACGACAAGTTATAGATCAAGTTAGCGTTCTGTTTCAGTACAATGAATTTTTAAACAGTAGGGGACTATGTATTGCTTCGCAATACGCTGAGAACGCTTGTTTAAATTTAATTTTTGTCTAACTCTTGCCTGTGACATAAATCCCAGATTGTGAGACATAGGGAGGACTGTTAATAAGGCATTGGTGTATACTACTTTGATAAAGCTTTAGATTTCAGAAGGAAGAAAATCTAAATTTCATCAGTCGTATGTCCATTGTTCTTTACCTCATTTCATGGTCCAGTGACTGCTTGCTTAAAAAAAGTGACTAAATGTAATTTTTTTTACTTATGTGTAATACAATGACCTTATTTGGTATATAAGATACTTGCAAGGTGTACATGTCTGTCAGGCAGGTTCAACTGATCTTGACCTCATTACATGGTTCAGTCATCAATGATTAGTTTTTGTGGTCAAGATGATGTATTTGATACTATGATTAGAAATAGGTCACCTAAATTTGTTTTATGGAATGATTGTAAGGTATAAATTTCTTTCATAGACCGATTTTTATGAAATTTATATCAATGGTTAACACAAGCTAGATGGGGTGTCTTAATTAAAATCCATAGAATTTTTTAATAATTTGTCAAAATGAAGTTTTTATGATGCTTTTTTCAAAAATATAATAAAAAGTATGGGTCACCGGACTTTTTTTTCACGCTACAGGTTGTGCAAGATTGTCAGATTTTGTATAGATTATGCATGGAAAATCTAATTTTGTGTGATAAAAAGAAAACTACATGATAGAATTTTAAGATAAAATGTGAGAAGATAGCTCTTATAACATGCTTTCAGATAAGAAAAAGAAAAAATGGGGTCACCGAACTGGTTTTCTTGCTATATATTAAAATAGGTAAATTCACAACATTTTCTATTATAAAAATTACTTTATCTGAGTTATCTCCCCTTATTTGGCAAAGTTGAAAAAAAATGAATCAAACACAAATGTGTTTTTTTTTTTAGAAATTACAGCCGTAAATATGATAAAACACATAATTTTCTATATTTACATCAAAAGTCTTACACATAAATTACATACTACTCTCAAAATTTACACATTTCATCAAAGATCTAGACTAACTGTTATCGGCTACTTTAAAATCTAAGATGGAGGAAGACATCCGACCCACCTTAATATCAGTAATGTCTCTGAAAATTTTGAAAATAGAATTAGTTTTGATCAACTATTTTAAAGCATGTTACCCCTTAGAAATATAATTTAAATGTAAAACTGCATTGTAAGATCTCTCAAGCCTACATTTCGTATAGGATTCTAGGAAAAACTTTGAAGAACAAGATAAAGATACGTGTATGATGGAGCTGTAACCGTTTAACAGATTAAATTTGTGCATTGGACATTCCAAGGCTTTAATTTTATTTAAAGTATGAATAATATGTATTGTTACTTTTTATAGAGCATTTAGGACAACAGTTAGATGACTATGTAGCAAAATTGCCAGTGAAGACATATGTTTTAAGATCAGAAACAAGAACTGGTTTAATAAGAGCCAGATTGAAAGGTTAGTTTTACTGTAAATAGTTGATTTATGTAATACTGCTTTGCTTGTTGCCCATTCCAATTCAATTGATTTGAATAAAATACTGGGTTTCAAAAAAATAATGCAAAACACAGGGTTTCCAAAACAGTTGGTATATATATTCTAGTTTTAAATGACAACTTAAATATATTTGTGAAAATTAATGGTGTACTGTGAAAGTACTTTTATTCGTGGGGTACCATTTTTCATTGTTTTTGTGGATGGCTTTATCCACTAATGTAAGTGTCCAACAAAATATACCAACTGTTGTTCAAATCAAGACATGGAAATATCCCCATTACGGTAATTTTGACTACATGGATACGGGCATATATTCTAGAGAATACATCAAATATCAGCAAACGCACTATGAACTCTATATACAACTGCAGACAGGATTTTACCCATTTCACTAAAAAAAACCAAAACTGTAAGACCTTTTAACCTTTTAATTCTCATACAAAAAAATAATAAATTCATGTTGGGCATGCTTTTTATGCCCCTGCCGTAGCGGAGGGGAGTTATTAGTTATCTTGGTGTAATCAGGGGTGTACAGAATTTTACACCGTTGTTGAAAATTCATACACCCTGATGCGCAGCCGAATGGGTATATGAATTTTCAACAACGGTGTAAAATTCCGTACACCCCTGATTACACCAAGATAACGAACTTATTTCTTATGAACAATTCCTTTACTTATTTTTAAACCAAAAGTAAAATCGAAAAATGCTAATGAAAAATTTCCAATGTAACATTTTTTCAATGTCGATGTTGCTACGTATTGTCAAATACTTTTTTTTTTTTTTTTTTTTTTTTTTTTTTTAGGGGCCTCGGTGGCCGAGTGGTCTAAGTAGTTACTACTGTAATCACTAGCCAGTCAACACTGAGGTTGTGAGTTCGAACCCCGATCGTGCGGGTGCACTCGACTCCAATCTTAATTGACTAGGATTGTCAGTTTTCCTATCGAAGTTCGATGGTTTTCTCAGGGTACTCCGGCTTCCTCCACCAATAAAAACTGGCCGCCACGAAATAGCCCAAAAGCGGTGCTTAAAAGTGGCGTTAAAACACCACAAATCAAATCAAATCAAATCAAATACTTTTATTCTTTATTTTTGGGAAATACAGAAAAAAAAATTTGTTCTTTTGAATTTTTGGGAAAAACATTTTTTTTTATTTTTAAAAAAAAAATTTTACAAATTTTTGTCCTCAAATTTATTTATTTTTTATTTTTTATATTTTTTATTTTTTGGCAAAATTTTATTTATCCCGGGGTGAACAAGGGTGGGGTGTTATTTACACCAGGGTAATTAACCAATCAGATTGCAGTATTTTTGCTGCATAAGAAATAATAAGTTTTACCCTTGTCCGTCTGTATGTTTGTCCGAACGTATGTCCCACAGTTGGTTTCCGTTCTCTAACTTTAGTTTGCCTAAACCAAATGTTATGAAACTTATACACAATACTTATTACCACAAAACACAGATCAAGTTTGAATTTTGGTGGCGTCACTTTAACCGTTCTAGAGTTATGCCCCTTTACAAATGGAAAAATTGCTGAATTTTTCCTTTCCGTTCTCTAACTTAAGTTTGCCTCAACCAAATGTTATGAAACTTATACACAATACTTATTACCACAAAATACAGATCCAATTTGAATGTTAGTGGTGTCACTTTAACTGTTCTAGAGTTATGCCCCTTTACAAATGGAAAAATTGCTAAAATATTCGTTTCTGTTCTCTAACTTTAGTTTGCCTCAACTAAATGTTATGAAACTTATACATAATGTTAATTACCACAAAACACAGATCAAGTTCGAATTTAAGTGGTATCACTTCTACCTTTCTAGAGTTATGCCCCTTTACAAATGGAAAAATTGCTAAATTTTTCGTTTCTGTTCTCTAACTTTTAAAGTTTGCCTTAACTAAATGTTATGAAACTTATAAACAATGATTATTACCACAAAACTCAGATCCAGTACAAATTTGGGTATCGTCACTTCTACAGTTCTTGAGTTATGTCCCTTTATAGCGTTATATGCAAGCAGGGGCATCATCTGTGTCCCATGGACATATTCCCCATTTATTTCATAAGAATTAATTCTAAAAGTACATTTGTAGCATTTTTTTATGTAACTGTTTTCTTTAAGTGACGTGTGTATGGCCCAATTAACACCTTTGATGATCATTTATCCGTTGATCATTAGATCTCAGGTTAGTAAGTGTCATCATTTCTGATAACATGTGTGCAACTATTAAAATGTTTACTTTGCAATTTCCTTCAATAGAGACAATTTTAACCACAGCTGAATCAGCTTATTTCCGAAAGCAATTATTTTATTAAAATTTTGATGAATATTGTCAGTAAACGAACATGATGAAAGACAGACATTGAAGTAAATTGAAATGAACACCTTTAATTTGCAATGTCCTTCAAATCATAATAAAACAACATATGATTATTTTCAAGAATCTTCGTTTCTGATGGCTTCAAATTCATTACTTGATTTTTTTAAGAAAACTAAAATCCATGAATTTAAGAACCCACAAACATGTAATTTTTGCTCAAACTATGAAAATTGATACCCACGAATAAACGTACTTTCACAGTATCTGAAATTTTTCAAAAATTGCATTATTTATACATGTACACAAAATTAAAAGGTAACCAGAATTACTACAACTAAAGTATGCATGACATACATGTGTATAGTTATCACAAACAATGTATACAGTCTCATTTCTAACTTTTATCACTGTACAGATGGTAACCAGGAAGTCAACATTTGGTTTCAGAATACATTTTTTTTAAAACTAAAACCATGTTTCAAGATCAGTGTGATATTGTATCTCTATTATAATAGAGATGGAAACACGAAGTTGAGACCTGAAGTTCCGCCTCTCCAATATGCAATGTTAGTTAGCAATACCAATTTCTAAGTACAACTTAATTTTGTTCATGTGTTAACATTGTTACAAAATTATTTGCATTTAGTTTCTGGTGTTTGCTTGAATACTGAAAGTTATAAATTCAAAATAGTTACTAAACCGGATAAAAAAAAGTAAAAAAATAGTCCAGACTATTTTGTGTAAGAGATAATTGAATTCTTGGTACATGCAAAAGGCTACATTTCTTTTAAACTGATAAATTATAATTTTAGTGTAGTGCTTACAAAAACATGACATAGATTGCCTATTTACATTAAATGTATATACACAGGTTTATAATGCAAAAGTGGCTAAAGCCCTCAGCAGAATCCTAGCTTAAACCCTGTGTTAATAGATGGTTCTCTGCAGTTTGTATCTATTCCATTTAAACAGGTGCTGCAGCTTCTAAAGGGAAGGTCATTACTTTTCTGGATGCACATTGTGAATGTACAGAGGGATGGCTTGAACCACTGCTAGCAGAAATACACAAAGATAGGTAATCAAGTTACCAATTACTTAAAGATTTAAGTACCAATGGTAGATTTACATTAATCCTTAGTCCTAAGTAGGAAATTATAGAAATAAGTAGAACAATTAGATAAATCAAACAGTCAACTTTTGTTAGTCCACCATCCACAAAGATGAATAACATTTCACTTATGGTTGTAAAGCATTGGATTAACTAGTTGGCAAAAAACATTTTAAATTCAAAGATATCTTTGCAAAAAATATCCACAATTTCTTCCTTCAAATATTTATCATATAAGATTTTATACCGGATTTTCAAAGGAAATATCAGTTATTGATTTGGGGATGTACGTTGGATGGGGGGGGCGGCTGCCAAACAGTGTCTCTTCAATAACATGAAAACGCTGTGATGATTTTTTTTCAAATTTAGAATTCTTGTGACTAAATGAAGGTCAAGTTCAATTTTCAGGATTTTAGTATTTCTCCTTTTTGAGTTATCGCCATTTTTAATATCCAAAAGTAGTATTTTTAAATATTTTTCTCTTGTTATCACATTATGACTAAGCATATGGTAAATGTCTTATCTCACAATTATAATTGGAGTGACAGATTTATTTGAAAATTTTCTATTTCCTAAGTGGTGATGATTATAAGCTATATTATTAGACATTTTCAAGTTAATTACATTACTAATTATTATATATGTAATGTTAGAGTACTATGTTAAACCATAGTTCTGTTCAAAGGGAAATAACCCTTCAGATTTGCAAGTATGATTTTCATTATTAATTAGATCTGGGAAATATCTTAGCATATGATAATAATTGGAGTGACAGATTTATTTATAAATTTTATGTTTCCTGATAAGATCTGTAGGACTGTATATATAAAGTTTGAAATTTACGAGTAGGACTGTATAAATGAAGTTTGAAATTTACTGTTCATTATTAGACACTTGAAAGATAATTACGGATAAGTTTTATAGGTTTTTAAGAGATAGACATTTTGAAGTTAACCCTTCAGATTTGCAAGTATGATTTTCATTATTAATTTTTCTTTTCTTTGGTAAATTGTTTGAAGAATTTTATGGTGTGTTTGTTATTCTGTAAATAATTTTCTGAGTGATATATGTATATAATTGTTTTGTTGTGTCTGTTAATTTTAATTTTTACTTGATCTTGTTTGTGGTTCCAGATTTGAAAATTCATTAGATAATAATCTATTATTTATAAATTAAAAAGTTAAAATTAAGATAAGATAAGTTGCAGATCTATATTAGTATGTTACAAATGAAAGAAAAAATATTGGGAACTATCAACTACATATATAATGTTTGATTACACTAAGTGATAAGATAACACACATCTGGTAATTGTCATTGCAATCACCCAATTATAATTGGAGTGACAGATTTATTAGAAAACTATAATTCTTGAAATCTGGGAAGCCATATAAGGGTTTTTAACTTCTCTAATAGGTTTCGTAAAGTGTGATGACCATAAAATGTATGTGAGACTCCCTTTTTCATATAAGCTATATATGACAACAACTTGTAAGGCAGAAAGTAAACAAATAAGGAACGATTCAACAACGCAACACACCATCTCTGATTTGATGAACTTTCTCCCCCACCCTTGATTTTCATTCTGTGGTGAACCATGCTCATACTGTTTACAACCAGGTATAAAAGGCTCTGACATGATAAAATGTGAAATAATTCAAATGAGACAACAAATATGACAGACAGCAATAAACAACCACTGATTTACAGGCTCCACACTTGGGACAGGTACATACAGAATGTGGCAGGGTTACATATGTCCCATAATTGATCATTGATGACTTTTATTACAGAACTGCAGTTGTATGTCCAATAATTGATGTGACCTGTGATTTTTTTCTATTGCAGAACTGCAGTTGTATGTCCTATAATTGATGTGATCAGTGATGATACATTTGAATACATTCCTGGATCAGATATGACATGGGGAGGGTTTAATTGGAAATTAAATTTCCGCTGGTACCCAGTTCCTCAGAGAGAATTAGACAGGAGAGGTGGAGAAAGAAGTAATCCAACAAGGTTTGTTTCATAATAGTGGAAGAATTTAACCTGACAATCTTTAGATAAAGGTATTTATATAAATTAATTTTACTTGAATTTTGGAGAAAATGCAAAAAATAACGTCCAAAAGAATTGGGTAGAAAACATTTGTGAAAGTTTTTTTCTTGGCCTATATGTAGGGAATGAATTTATATTCAGTATGCAGCTTGATATATTTGACTTATAGTGTATTAGCAGTTTTAACATCTGCCATGCAGTCACTAACTGTTTGCCTATAGTTTAAAATTTTACAATACTCATTGTACAAGGAAAATGTTCATCAAACTTTTCTTGGCTTCAATGATTTGAGGGAATGATCAGTCATGTTACCTCAATCAATTGCATGCAGCAATTGAGGTTCAGACATTGTATTGGTCTTGTTTAAATATGGTATCTGATTACTTAAGTCATAGCTAACATTTTGTTCAAGGATTGTGTTATAATATCATGGCATGCTTTGTCATGTTTGTAAGGGAAGTAAAAAAGACATCATGAATTTAGTCAATTTCAATTAAAAAATGTCTTACTGAAATAGAAAATACTATGTAATTGTACATGTGTCAGGTTTATTTTATAGTTTAAAGTAGAACATCAGTCATACTAATTGTTTATTAATTTTATTGATCTGACACTGTATTGATATATCTCTTTTAGAACTCCTACCATGGCAGGAGGATTATTTTCTATAAGCAGAGAATACTTTTATGAGATAGGATCCTATGATGAAGGAATGGACATATGGGGAGGGGAGAATTTAGAAATGTCCTTCAGAGTAAGTAGATACATAGTGTTAGGCAAGGTATCTAAGAGAATGTAAGGTTCTGCCCTTTAGTCATGCTTCAGCGTCTTAAGTTCAATGATTAATGCATCTGGTATAATGTACAGTTTTCTTATTGAGGAGGCTGTAGACATACTTAAGAATTGATTTAGACTCCAATATGTACAGTGCACAAGCTTTGATATTAAGATGAATGCGAAAAACAGACATGGCATTTTGAAATTTTGCTTTGAATAATTTTGAAAATAAGTGCTCTAGTTAATTGATATTTTATATAGATGGAATAGGAATTAAAGTGATATCAGTATGAGGCCTTCAGTAAGTGGTTATCAAGAACTAAGTGAATATAATAAAGATAAATCATTATTTTCATACATTTAATAGGTATGGATGTGTGGAGGCAAAGTATATATTGTTACCTGTTCAAGAGTAGGTCATGTCTTCCGTAAAACCTCACCATATTCTTGGCCAGGTGGTGTTGCTAGAATTATCAATCACAACACACAGAGAATTGTAGAAGTTTGGATGGATGAATATAAAGATTTCTTTTATAAGATTAATCCAGGTATGTAATATGCAAGAGTCTGAAACTTCTAGCTCATGTAGAACTGAAATGACCAGGTTTTGACGTCATTATTTTCAAATGCGTACAAAAGCAAAATAGCCCAATTGTCTTTTTGACAGATGTCTCTAGATAAATCGTTTATTAAATCCTTGATTTGTACGTGTCTAGTTACAGCTAGTTTGTCATTCTATCAATCTGTCTAGATCTGTAACACATTGAGGGTACCTAATTTGTGTCATCTGTAACTCCAAAAGTTTTTCTTAAACATAATTTGAAAAATTGCATCTCCTATTATAGACATATTTGATTTATTTTTGTCTCAGTTTTTCCACTTAGTTGACTTAGTCATTTATTTGTCATTGAATGCTATAAAGTACCTATTTTGTTTCATCTAGATCTGAAACTCCAACAGTTTCCTATCAACAGTAGTCAAACTTTGCATTTGGGCGTAAATACCTCAATTACAGCTATATTCAGATACTTACCAAAATGTAAAACAAACCTTCACATCATACAAATCTAGCTATAAATAGTTATATCTTGCTTTAGTGCTATAAAGATAATACACTCTTCAGTGTGAGAAATGTCTTAACTACCATGGGTAAGATAGCATTTATTCATTTTAATTGGTTGGACATTATCTTACACTTTCTAATCTTTATGGCACTGAAATAAGTTCTTCAAATCAGTAACATTGGACAGCATTGATTTGTATTATAAAAAAAATGCTATCTATCATTTCATTACATCGACATCACTTTATCATTATCATCAATTTACTGTAGTTATTTCACACCTGCAGATTTGATTTTATACAGAGTGTTTAAACAGAGAGACAATATTTGTATTTCTAGGTGTTAGAAGTACCAGCTATGGAGATGTTAAAGAAAGACAAAGTATGAGAAAAAGATTACAATGTAAAAGTTTTAGATGGTATCTAGAAAATGTTTACCCTGAGTCACAGCTACCATTAGATTATTTTGCACTTGGAGAGGTTGGTATAAATGAAGAAGTAATATTTCTTATGAGATTTCACATTGATTGATAGTTAAACTGCCAAGATCCCACATATGGTCAATACTAAAGTCATGCAGATGGATAACTGATTTTCAGAATTGGTTTCTGATATGAACATATATTGATGTCGCAGTGAAATAAAGAATGGTTCTGTAATTGTAAGTCAAAAAGTCGGGACAGTGTTTTATAACCTCTGCTACCAACAACATGATATAACCACCCATCAAATATTAATTGAAGGTACCTCCACACCCCTCTCTCCACACCCCTCTCTCCACACATTCAAATATGGAAAAGCCTTAAAGGTCAGGAAAAGATGATAACAAATGTATTATATATACGATGAGTTTGTGGACATTTACACATTATTTGCTTTTTCTGTTTCACCTTTTGAAAAAGAAAGCATGTCGGGGAAAACAGTTACATCACAGTGCTCAAATTGCACCCTCTCTGCAAAACTGGATGGAAATCTTATAGGTTTTCTTAGAGACTAACCAGTTCTTTTTTATGCACCCGCCAAGGCAACAGGGGCATTAAGTGTTACCCTTGACCGTCCTTCCGTCCATCCCATTTTTGTTTTTTCGCACTCTAACTTAAGTTTGCCTCATGCAAAATTTATGAAACTCATACACAATGCTATAAATAAATACTCGCAGACAGAGTTTAAATTTGGGCACTGAGTCACTTACCATTCTAGAGAAATGCTTCTTTTTAACTTGGAAAATTGCAATTTTTTTCGTTTCTGCACTCCTTCTTAAGTTTATCTCATCCAATTTTATGAAACTTATACACAATGGTAAGAACCAAAATTTGCAGACAGATTTCAAATTTGGGAAGTGAGTCTCTTACCATTCTAGAGTTATGCCCCTTTATAACTTGGAAAATTGCAAATGTTTTTGTTTCTGCTCTCTATTTTAAGTTTGTCTCATCCAAATTTTATGAAACTCACACACAATGCTAAGAACCTCAACAGGTAGACAGAGCTAGAATTCGGGTTGTGAGTCATTTACCATTCTTGAGATATGCCCCTTTTTAACATGGAAAATTGCAAAGCTTAAGTGGGGGCATTAGTGTCCTTAGACACATTCTTCTCTTATTTTATCAATTTTCATAATGCTTTTCTTTCAACATCGCTTATTATACTTAAAGATACACAAAACTGTCACATTATATATGAACAGATGTTGTCTCCTGTGATAAAAGTCAAATTTACGGTTAACATTGCTTGAGACATCTACATAAAGTCTACTTTTGAAAAAGAGTAATTAGAATATGTCACAGGCATCCATTTCTTACCCCAAAAAAATGCAATTTATGTACTCCTGATTACAGAATCTTGAATTGTTTAGAGGTCAGTTCAAATCCATTTTGCTATGATCATTATGGATTCAAAATTTAATTTGTGGAACTACAATGTATATAGTTAATAAGGATAGATATACAAAATAAACACAGAATGGAAACTTTTGTCTGTTTCTTTAAAAGAAGGAGAAAAACTGTCAATATATGTACAATTTAGGTAACCTCACATTATATGTCTTGGACTTGAAATAGAAATAAAAGTAAAAACCAAACCAGATTAGTTAATATTTTGAAATTAATAAATTATTTCATTTGATTTTTACAGATAAGAAATAAAGCAAATAATAAATGTATAGACAGCATGGGTAGAAAAAGTGGTGAAAAAACTGGACTTGTTCACTGTCATAGTCAAGGAGGAAATCAGGTTGGTGTTTGTTAGAGATACAGAGATTGTGTGGGAAGAAAAAGTTATGTCAAATAATGAATAACAACTGGACATTAACTTAAATTATTACAATAGAATATCTGAAATTTTCTAGAATGATTTTAAAATAGTTTTTCCAAATGTTCTGTTAAGGGGAGATAATTTTTGAATTGTTCCCATAGTTCACTGAAAAAATATATTTACAGTTGTTGTATTGACCTTAAATACATTGTCTTACTGAGTAAAAATAAATATGATTACTGTTTAAAGTTTTGTAATAGTTGAATAGAAATGTTAAATTGATATAATTGTATATTACTAGCACTTAGGAGTCTTATTCGTGTTTAATGAATAATTCATCTGGTTCTTGTAAAGGGGAGTAAACAATTGAATATTTAGCTCATACTCTTCCTGTTTATAGAATACTTTTAGCCAGGCTATGATTATTGAGCAATACAGTATATTAAGTTTTTTGAAACCACATGATTAATCTTAACCAATTATGTCAAGGTATAATTGACAATGTTGTCTTTTTTAATGGAGGAATGATAAGTGCCATTATCTCTGGCCCTGAATTTTCAAAAATAGTAAGATTCTTCAATCCTTTAAAAATGATAAATGAATAGAGGAATGTAACCTTGACTTTTTAGTAAGAAATATCAGTTGTCATGTCCCTTTGGTGTGAATAAAACATGTCAAAATTGATATATTTGACCTAAAACAACTATTTTACACTTAGATTTTTGCCAAAATAAATAAGTTTGATGGATTGTTGCTTGATGTCTAGTGTCAATTCTTTCATGCATATTTAGGATGAAACACTATTAACAATGAACACAATAGGTAGGTTCTTCAAGGTGGGGACGACAGGAGATTGAATATGAGCCAAAGTCTAACTCAAAAAGATATTTTACACACATTTACATCTTTGTAGAAGACATCTGGCTGCAAAATATTATTTTGGGAGTAAGACTTAAGCTCAAATCTAGATTTTAATGATAAGACACTAAAATTAGGTGATATTAGCAGGTGTTTTATTTTGCAGTTTTGCATGAAAAGAAAAACTTTTAGGCCATAAAGCAAATATGCATGACCAAAATTTCAAAAATCTGATTACTGATATCTGACCCACGTACATGTCTAGATCTTGTAAACATATGAAGGTAGTAATTTGAAAATTTATAAAGTTCTATTCTTAATTCAAGGGGCCAAAAAGTGGCCTTTCTCCTGTCTCCCCTTTGAAACTTAAAGTCTGAAGTCTGAAGTCTTATCAAAGTTTACAGATGATTCAAAGACCATCTATAGAGATTTACATTTATATTGGTACATGTTGATTAGGTCAAATACATGCCATAAGGGTTCTTATTAAACCCTTAAAAAAATCTTATAAATAAACTCATAATAAAACTTCGCTTGGCAACTGAACTTTACAAGAAATAATTGGCTGTAAAAAGGGGCCTTTATCATAAAGCATCTGATGATTTAAATCAACTGAAATATAGGGAACCTCCTTTTGCCACAAAAAAAAATGGATAAAAAACCTCAGAATAACCTAATATCATCATAACTTGGCTTATAAGAAGATAAAATAGATTTGGTTTAGAGAAGAGTCAGAGCTTAATCTTATATTACTTAAGCAACTGTTAATTCAGAAATTTGTATGTTCATTTATAATTGTCGATTGATGAACAACTGACAAAAAAGTTTTTGTTTTTTGAGAAACCTTTCCGATCCCAGTTTTTGCGATATTTAAAATATCTAAAAATAATCTTAATTTACAGTATTTGAATAAATCTAGTTTCATACTCTTATAATCATTAAAAATGAAATCTACTGACATTGATATGATTTGGTTAAGAAGAAAGTTTTTGGCAGGTGTGGCAATAGTGGTCAGTGTTTAAATATAAAATGTTTTCTTTCATTAACCATATTTCAGATTTTCTCTTATACTAAAAAGAAAGCTTTACAGACAGATGATGTTTGTTTGGATGTATCAGCCATAGGCGGCCCTGTTAAATTGTTTCAGTGTCACGGTTTAGGGGGTAATCAAAAATGGGAATATAATCGACAGGTAAACAGCCAATATATAACATTGTTTACTGTTGTTCTCTTATATGTTGTTGTCACGTGGTGTTTGATGAGCGATCAAAATTAGCATTCCACATGTAAAGTAGTTCTTTCTTTAAACATCTACTTCTATGCAACTTTCATCATCAAACACTGCTGTGGCAATGACATGTTTGATGTTATATATTTATTTCTTAATTTCAGATGGCTGTTTGCATGCTTTGGGTTCCTTTGTATGTGTGTTTGTAAAGTTTTATTTGTGGCTTCAGAATAAGAATTTCTACAAATAAAGCATTGATTTTTAATTTTAAAAATATTTTTCTCTGTACAAAATGACATTAAAAAACAAGAAAAAATTTGTAATGTTTATACATCACATTGAATATAAATTACAATTAAAACATTTTTGGCCAGTCTGCATGAAGTACAAATTCCTAAGAAGTTTTTACAGTAAATGCTTTACATATTTAGGAAATTCTGACTGAAGTAACAAATACAAACCACATATCCTATGTGTTACTAGGTGTAACTTTTATTTGATTATAACTTTAGTTCTTTCCTCTCCGCATGTTAGGTTTTCAGCTACACCCAGAGTAAACAGCTGCGAACAGATGATAACATGTGTGTTGATGTGCAATACTATTCTGTAATGTTGGTAGACTGTGATACCAGTCATGGACGATGGGAATATATAAGACAGGTAGACATGCAATAATCATTATCTCTACTCAGTAGTACTTCCTAAAGCAACATAATAAATTATGTGAAGTCATTACTATTAGATAGTCTACAATGTTTATATCCAAGCAAAGCCAATGTATTTCTGTTCTGTAATCCTTGTTAATAGACATTTTCATATATTACAATTAAGGTATGATGCCTATTCAGTGCACATTTGTAAATAAAAGTTTTTATAGTTATTCTTAATTATTTTTATATAATAGGTAAGATTTTTATTGAGTAAAATGTTCTTGTGGTAGAGTTTTTCTTGCAAATTTACTAGAACAAAACATATTCTTACTTTTGCCATGCATCTTAAACAAATATTGGGACAGCTATTTTGTTTATTTTGTAATTGTTCAAATTTTTCAAAGCCAATCACATATTATTTGATGGATAAATCCAAAATATAAAGATTTAAAAAAAAAAAGAAGATAAAAATCAACAATGTTTCCTTTTTATACTAATTGCTTTCTTTGGCTTTGCTTCAATGCAAGTGAATTGTATGTTCACATGTTATTTCAAAAAATGTTTCATACCTAACAGAATTTATTATGTTGCTTTTGAAGGTACGCATGAACTTTGGAAGAGGGCATGTTCCGTCAGGGGTTATGGCATTTTGTATTTATAATTGTCTTTATATTTTGTTTATTTATATTGTAATGTTATTATTGAAAAGACATGTACTGGTAGTTAAACATACAAAACTAGCATTTTTAAGAACAAATTTTATAATATAATCACAATTAACTAATTTCTTTTAAAGTTAACGCTAGTAAATGAATTTTATTCTGAAAAAGCGTTAATGATCTCAACTTCATCTGAAATATACAAAAATGAAAATGTTGAGTGCTGAAGATATTCAGTACAGTAAACATCTGGCTTGCAGTATTTCTGGTACTGTTTAAACATCTTGCTTGCAGTCAACCAAGCACTGTTCAACAATCTGGCTTATCGTCAATCAAGTATTGTTTAAACATCTGGCTTGCAGTCAATCATGATCTTTTCAAACATTTTGTCTGCAGTAATTCAACTAGTGTTCTAACATCCGACTTATAGTCAATCAAGTACTGTTTAAACATCTGGCTTGCAGTTATTCAAGTACTGTTCAAACACAAGGCTTGAGGTAATTCTAGTAGTGTTTAAACATCTGGCTTGCAGTAATTCAGTACTGTTAAAACATATGGCTTGCAGTCAATCAAGAACTGTTTGAACATGTTTCTTGCAGTCAATCAGGTGCTGTTCTAACATCTGGCCTGCAGTCAATCAAGTACTAAATCATGATGCTGGCAATCAATCTCCAGTACTTTTTAAACATCTGGATGCAGACATTCAAGTTTTGTTCAAATATCTGATTTGCAGTCATTCAAGCAATGTTCAAACATCTGGCTTGCAGTCAGTCTAGTACTGTTTTAACATTTGGCTTACAGTCAATCAAATACTCTTTAAGCATGTTGCTGGCAGTCAATAAAGTGCAGTTCAAACATCTGGCTAGCAGTCAACCTAGTACTGTTTAGACATGTTGCTTGCAGTCAATCAAGTGAGGTTCAAACATCTGGCTTGCAGTCAGTCTAGTACTGTTTTAACATTTGGCTTACAGTCAATCAAATACTCTTTAAGCATGTTGCTGGCAGTCAATAAAGTGCAGTTCAAACATCTGGCTAGCAGTCAACCTAGTACTGTTTAGACATGTTGCTTGCAGTCAATCAAGTGAGGTTCAAACATCTGGCTTGCAGTCATTCAAGTACTGTAAAACATGATGATACTAGTCAATCTCCTGTACTGTTTAAACATCTGGCTTACAGTCATTCAAGCAATGTTCAAACATCTGGCTTGCAGTCAATCTAGAAATGTTTTAACATTTGGCTTACAGTCAATCAAATACTCTTTAAACATGCTGCTGGCAGTCAATAAAGTGCTGTTGAAACATCTGGCTTACAGTCAATCAAGCCCGGTTTAGACATGTTGCTTGCAGTCAATCTCCAGTACTGTTTAAACATATGGCTTGTAATCATTCAAGTACTGTTTAAACATATGGCTTGCAGTCAATCAAGTACCTTAAAACATGATGCTGGCAGTCAATCTCCAGTTCTGTTTAAACATCTGACTTGCATTCATGCAAGTGCTGTTGAAACATCTGGCTTACAGTCAATCAAATACTATTTAAAAATGTTGCAGGCAGTCAATCTCCAGGACTGTTTACATATCTAACTTACAGTCAATCAAGATATGGTTAAACATCTGGCTTGCAGCCAATCAAGCAATGTTCAAACATCTGACTTGCAGTCAATCAAGCACTGTTCCAAAGTCTGAGTTGCAATCAATTAAGCTCTGTTCAAACATTAGCATGCAGTAATCTCCCTGTTTGGTCTCTTTTCAGCATATATTATTTTCTTGAGGTAAGTTACATATCTGAACATTCAGAAGTCTAAACTGATACTAAATATCTGCCAGCAAAGTGTCTGAACGGTACTGAATTTACTGCTGTAGATATGTCTGAAAAATGACTGAAAGACTAAATATCAAGTTAGTGTTACATGGTCATTCTTTTCAGATCAGTTCTGACAGATAAACAAGGGAATCTCAGTTCTAAATGTATTTAATGTGCATTTTTCATGACTTCCGTATTTTTAAGGGATAATTATTAACAAACTTGTTCAAAAATTGACATTTTGCAGATTATTGAAAAAAGTCCAGATGTCTCTTTATTGATTCTAATTGTTAAACATTAACACAGAGCCCATGCATGATTGCTAATGCCAACAGAAAAAAATATTGTGGGATTTTTTATGGAAAAAAAAAAATGATACAACAGTTCTAGATATTGTTCATGTTATGTTTTCTTCTTTTTAGCTTACTTTTCTTTATTTATTTTCACTTCTGTTGTCATTCTTATTTGTCAGGATCTGTTACTATTTTGTATAATTTTATAACTGTTTATCTTGTAGAATCCCATAGGTATTTTATAAAATATGATAAATCATTGCTATATAGTACATTGTTATACTTCATGTCAAAATGAATTGTTTAATACGAGGTAGATAATTTCCTCTATCCCATGGCAAATACTCATTTACCCTTCACGGAGACGCTTGGTCAATTGTGCGCTTTATTAAATATGAATGGTATGGATGTTATGTACAAGACGTCATAGTTTATTACTTTGAATTTGAAATTAATAGAACATTTAGTATAATGAGTTAAATAACACATGTCTGAGAGGGGGATAGACTGTTACCCCTTGAAAAGACATTGTCAACCTTGGCTATGCTTCGTTTGACAATGTTTTCTCGGGGTAACAATCTGCTCTATCACCCTTTCAGCTATGTGTTATTTATATATTGGTGCATTACCATTCAGTCAATAAATATAAGTCTCCTTCCCATTGGTCACTGCTTCAGTAATTGAAATTTTTAAATGGTATGTATAAGCATCTTTCTGAAAAAGTTATTTGATAGACTTTGACATTTTATATTCTGTTAGGTCCAAAATTACAGATTTGTTGTCTGATAAAGTGAGTTTATGTAGACATTATTATGATAGATCATTGATACTGTGGATTCATTATTATATATGGGATATCAGTTTTCATGGATTTCATGGGTATAGGTGAACTATGAATTTCAATGTTCAAGGAAGTAAAACTTTTCTTAAGGTTTGTATATTGACTCTGGCAAAACCACGAAATCAGATATCCACAAAAATACAAATTGTCCTCAACCCATGAAAATAAATGAATTAATGGTATTTAAAATTGTTGCACTACCATCTGAATTTTTAAAGTTTTGTCTCGCCTTCAATGAATGTCGCAGTATGCAAGACATAGGGATTACCCGCCGACAGCGGTGATGTAAACTATTTGTATAAAGCTTTATATTTCAGAAGGCTGAAGACCTGGATGCTTCATACCTTGTATGCAAATACCTTATGTAACAAAGATTCCGTCTGTCATATGTCTATTGTCTTTGACCTCATTTTCACGGTTCAGCGACTACTTGAAAAAAAATTTGTCATGTGAATTCCACACTTATTATGAGTAATAAGATAACTATATTTGGTATATGGGTTCTTTGCAAGGTCTACATGTCCATCAGACAGGGTTCACATTCATGAAATGATTGCAAGGATACATGTCTGTCTAGTAGGTATAATCTGACCTTGACCTCATATTCATTGTTCATTGGTCAATGTTAAGTTCTTGTGTAGTGGTCGATTTTTCAAATATCATAAGCAATAGGTCAACTTTATTTGATGTATGGAAAATTGTAAGGTGTACATTTCTGTCTATCAGGTTTTATCTGACCTTGATCTCATTGTCACGGATCTTTAAAAATGTTAAGTTTATTTGATACTTGTTGTAAAACCTTGATCTTTTAAGAATTTCAAGATAAAATCAATGATCAGTTAAACAGGGGAGACATTTCAGTGTGTGCACTCTTGTCTAATCAGGTGAGGATCAGAATTACTTAGTTACACCCATTTCCAATTTAACAAGAAAAATATAGCAGCCCATCTATTCCCTGTTTAAATTTTGCTCTAAACCAGACTAGACATATATATATCTTCTTAACATATAATGTCTTAACAAATATTTATAGATTTAAGTTTTTCATTTCCATGAAATATACCCGAGCGATATCAGTGCTGTTCCAATGCCCAGTTTTGTTCCAGCTTTTTTGAAAAATTTTAATATTCCTGATGACTGTGATGAAATCCATATAAGAGCAAAAACGTACAACAGATGTTTCCTGTGAGAAACCTTAGATAGATTAGAGAAGGTTTCTTCGACGAAGTCTGGAAGTAAGAGATGACTGAAATACTTATTTTACTCATCCTTTTCTTAAATTACTTATCAAATTAATATCTATCACGACACTGACAAACCTTGCAAAATGTGAGACATAGAGATGCTTTTCATGTGGCAACAGTGTTAACTGTTTTTATAAAGGTTCAAATATCTGAAAGTAGAAGACCTTGGTATCTTGTATGCAGATGGCTGATGATTTGATGTTTCTATCTGGCATATATCTAGTGTCCTAGACCTTATTTCCATGGTTCAGCAGTAGCTAAAAAAACAGGGGGGGTGGGGTGGGGGTGGTGGGGTTACTGACTATTCTTTCGGTTATAACTGTGCCGACAGTACTTGCCAAATCATACCCTGTTCTAACCAGAAAACATTGAAAAACATACCCTGTTCTAAAAAAAATATTGAAAAACATACCCTGTTCTAGACACGCTCAGACAGTTGTTAAAATATGCACCGGGAATGATCCTGTTCTAGACCGTATTAAATAGATGGTGTTCTAGATCCGGGTTCTAGACAGTATCTTAAACAGTTAAATAATGATCCTGTTCTAGACAAATACTTTGTTTAAAAAAAGACCCTGTTCTAACCAGCAGGACATAACCCTGTTCTAACCAGTAGGGCATGAAAAAGCAACCCTGTTTTGCGGCACACTCGTATAAGTAGTCCAACTACTGTATCACTAGTCTGTCAACACTGAGGTTGTGAGTTCGAACCTTGCACATGGCAGGTATGCTCGACTCCAATCTTAATTGACTAGGATTGTCAGTTTTCCTGCCAAAAGGTTGTTGGTTCTCTCTGGGCACTCAGACTTCCTCCACCAATAAAAACTGGCCGCCACTAAATAGCCAATTGTGCTGAAATTGGTGTTAAACACCAATCAATCAATCAATCTTATCTAACATGGACCCCATTTTCATGGTTCATTTGTCTGCTTTAAGAAGTTGTGATAAGGTCCTTTTTTTTAGATACTATAGGCAATAGGTCAACTGTATTTGGTGTATTGAATGATTGTATACATGTCCATCTGGCACTGTTTATCTGATCTTAACCTCATTCTAATGGATCATTGATAATGTTAAGTTTATTTGATACCTGTAGTAAAATTTTGTTCTTAAAGACTTTCAATATAAAACTCTGTCATGATCAGTAAAGCAAGCAAGACATTTCAGTTTTAACACATATCAGGGTTACAGCAGGGTTCAAATTAATTGTCTAAATTTAAAAATCGATTAAATAAAGATGATTGAACATAGTTATATAATTTTAACTCTTTTGGCAAGAGTTTCTGTGAGCTTTTGCCATCACTAGATGTCCATTATGAATCCACAGTCAAAACTTACTGAAAAATTTATCAATTATGGTTATTTCTGATAATTAAAAAAAAAATAAATTGATAGAATTCAAAATGCCAATTTGTTTGTTTTATTTCAGACTTTAGAACTGAAGCATGTTAACAGTAAACAGTGTTTAGGAGGAAAACAAAATGATAATGAACCAACTGTAGGTTAGTATGAATACTTAAACATCCTTAATATTGGCTGCTACACTGACATCTTCAAAAGGTCAATCAATTAAACAGCTGTGTTTTTCTTAGGTGGTTTCCTGTTGTAGTAAATAGATATAGGAAGATGTGGTATGAGTGCCAATGAGACAACTCTCCATCCAAGTAACAATATCTCCTGTTGTAGTAAGGAAATTTTGACCCTGAATTCCAAAGTATGTGCTATATTTTACTTAAGTTAGTGGTCATTCTGTTAGTAGATGGACTCTGCATGTTTTGTTTCACAATGTGGCTAGATAGGCATTATTTTGTCGTATATAAAAACCAATGAAATCTTTTCTACTTTTTACTTTTAGGTACTTGTGATGGTAGTCAAAGTCAAAAATGGATAATCAAAGATATGAAGTGGTGAAAAAAGTTAAAATAATTCCAACAAAATATCTGTGATAAAATGGTGTAATAATGTGATTTACCAGTCAATAGTGATTGGTTAATGTACCATCATTGTCCTTAAAGTTGGACAACTGAGTGACGTAATGAGGGAACGTGTTCATTACAGTACTATAAACATTCAAAACTTGTCACCTGTAATAATATAAATAAAAGAAGAACATATCAGTCAAGTAATTCATCATCACATGTTCAGTTTTGTTAATGAATTATCAGTGATTTCAAATAATAAGAATTTGCAGGACATTTTTTTATCTAGTTTTTAACCTTCTTTGAATTTGTAATTTGACATTCCGGTCAAATAAGGTAGCCACTAGGAGATGAAAGGCAAGGTATTTGGTCATACAACGAAAAGGATGGACTTTTACTTTCATTAATGTTAATATGGAATGCTACCAGTCCTATGTTCTTCTGTAATGCAATTACTCACTGATTTTTGTTGTTAAAAAACTTATTTTCTGATACTTGATTGTTGACTTTACAGCTAAAAACTCAGAACTTGTGAACATTTCTAAAAGTTTTTTCATGTTCTTCTTTCAAAAAAATATTTTAGATAAGCATAATATGAATGCCATAAATGTATGTGTTTTGAAAGCTTTTAGATGCATCATTTAGTTTCACACACTTATATACATATTACTGGAAAAGTTAGTCTTTATTATAAAAGCAAAAAGTGTAAACCTTGAGTTTTTCTTATTCCTATGATATATTTTGCATAGTATTTCAGAGTAGTTCTATCCAGACATCTATTTATAAAAAATACATGTATAGAAAATATAACCTTATGTTGACCAAGTCTACAAACCAATAGAATGTCAGCAATTACAGTGATTTTAATATTACAATTATAATAGGGTCTATGCTATTTAAAAACAATAGACACATCATGATTTCATCCCATATGAAAAAAACATATGCAAGTAAAATCTTAATGTGAGAAGTATTTTAGAAGTGAAAAGGGTTATTTAAAGCTATTTAATGTACCAATACTTTTGAATTCCATGAAAACTTATCAGTATTTTTTTTTTATTTTGCAGTATTTTATAGCTTTTTCTTTTTTCTAAACAACTTGTACATATATAGCTAAGAGAGAAAGGATTAGACATGGTTTTGATGTATCACAATATTTTTCATTGTTAGGATTCAGTCTCTATCTGGATGTACCGTGTATTTTATTTGACATTCCATCAGTCAACTTCTGTGCTTTAAAAAGCATGTTTGTGAACAGTCAATTTGAAAAAAAGTGTTTGCATACTGTACTTTTTGTCAAATTTATTTTCAATAAATTGACTTTCATAAGGAATGCATGCTGTCTCTGTATGAAAGGATTGTAGATTTTAAGGCTCAGGTACCTAACAGGTGCATTGACTATCTGTGTTGGTCAGCAGATTTGAATTTAAAATTCAGGGATCATATTTAATGATTAAAACCAAACCCACTTCATAAGGTAGGGCACATTCTTTCGGCCCAATTAAAGCATATAATTCTATCGCCATTTTACATGAATTCTGAAAGCAAGCATTCAGGTAAAAGTTATCTTTTGTTAGAAGAATATCCCACCGCTAGTTCAAGTTATCAAATATATATTTTGATATATTAGTAACTGTTAGTTTATTGGAGATCATATAAATAATGGAAGATTAAAGTAAATTTACCAAATGAAGGTTTTGATTGTAAGATGCAGTATTATAGTCAATGAATAGTTTTCTAATTTCAACAAACAAATTATCATTTATTGTTTGATAAATGCTTACTTCAATAAAAAAAACTATTTTGTCACACTTATAAAAATCAATATCTGAAAAGTACTTTTATTCATTGAATTGAATTCTTATGGTTGGAAAAACATTGGGTATTGCATTTTCAATATATGATTTAGCCTGCTGCATAAAACAAATCAACAATAAATATTTAATTTGTTAAAATTTGTGAATTTGATTAACAACTTGATTATTGATGTTATGTACCTGATGAATAGAATTAGGTACACAGTTTAGATCATGTTTATGTAATAGTATCCTATATTTTAACTTGTATTACCTTACACCACATGAGGATTTCTAGTATCTACTTACATTATTTATTTTCAATTGAAAGTCTCCTGCTTCAATGTTTTTCTGTCCTCATTATGTTAGATATTTCCTCCACCCCCAGGATAGTATTATCCTTAGCTAATTTAAATTGATGGAATTTGTTCTACAGACTGACAGAAATATTGAATTGTAAATTGAATAGATTAAGATACATGAGAAAAACACAAACATACAATGACAGATTATTAAACTGCACTGTAATGTTTTTATTTTCAGTTAATAAATAAGAAAACAAAGTTAACTTGTAATGTCAGACACCTTTATTGAATATATATTTTTGTGTTATCTACTTCTTCTGGAGAATAAAGCTAACTATTACTGATAATGCCATCCCTTCTGTATAACTTTAAATATAACTTCATTTCAAATTCTACTATTAAAGTAGTCAAGAACTACATTTCAATATATTGTTTTCTGCCATCTTGTCATGCGTCATAATATTCACTATACCATTTTAAATGTTTGACATAATTTAATTTCATAGAAGATACTTTATTTTAACATTTATAGACATTTGTATATTAATAATTCATCATATATTTTACCTTGTAAACCCTGTCATGCCATTCTGTAGTATAAAATTCTTGGTTGATATAATATTTATTTTAACGTGTTGAAGGACATTGCAGTACAGATTGGCACATATTTATACAAATCAATGATTTTGTAAGACTTTAATTTTATTAGCCAGATAAGGCCCTTAAGAACCTCCTTGGTAAAATCAATGATTTTGTAAGACTTTATTAGCCAGATAAGGCCCTTAAGAACCTCCTTGGTAAAATCAATGATTTTGTAAGACTTTATTAGCCAGATAAGGCCCTTAAGAACCTCCTTGGTAAAATCAATGATTTTGTAAGACTTTATTAGCCAGATAAGGCCCTTAAGAACCTCCTTGGTTAAATATTAAGTCGGAAGGTACATATGTACAGATGATTTTACACAAATTAACACATTATCATGTTTTGCTTTTAATACTATAGAATATTGTTGTCTTTGCAAGTAAACCTCAGTAGATAATATATCATTCACATTGCATTTACAGTGTGGTTAATCTAGTCACATTCATAAAGTATGTTTTAGTGCTTAATAGGTCATTATTAAAAATAATGCATTAAATGTGCAGAGGAATTATAGACAATAAAATACTTTGAATTTAATAAATAAATTCATAAACTTTATTAAATGATTTGTTAGAATATATAAAAGCACAGCTTAAGCTAAAATGATGTATTAGTAAAGAAACGGTTTATACTGCATTTTAATTGATATTGCACTAGGCATTATAATATATATGGTACTGACTCCCAGTATAAAGACCTTTAATATGGGTTTAAGGTTTCTAAATTTCAGCAATGAAGGAATTAATTGAAATAGTGATTACTGTATGTGTCTGCTATTTTGTTGACGGCAGGAATCTAGTCAATTTTAAAGTAGATTTTTTTGAATTCAGTAATGACTTACCATATTATTTTATATAAAACTGATGAATCATCAGTATAAATATTAAACAAGTAAAGATATCACCCTGGCAAGGTGAAATGGTTATGAATTTACATATAAAGGTGCAGATAGTAGTGTAGATTTTATTTTTATCTTGCCAACAACATTATGAAATCAATAATTTTTGTTCCATGGGACATTATATTAATACCACGATTCATTTACATTTTTGTTCTGCCATATTGTAATAATTACTGATGATTTTTATACAGAAGAAAACAAGTAAAATATGGACTGAATGTATTAGAGTACTAAAAAGGTAAACAAACATTCCCTTACCATTTATATAAACGATGTAATTGATTAATTATTTTATATTAATTTTATCATATATTCTATTTTTTAAATATTTTGATTGTAAATAATTTGTTCAGTTTGTTTATTGTATGTGATGTCTCTATGGAAGAATAAATAACATAAAAATGTTTACAGATTTTGTAGATGTTGTGTTAATTATGTAAAGAAAGTGAAAATGTATAATTTTTTTAAGTTATATTCATGAGATGTTTAGAACTCTTACATAATATCCTATGTAAAAGCTCTAAGATAGGAAATGTGATTAAAGGTATGATTTTAAGATTTCTATCTCACCAATATTATATATGTTTGTATTTAAGCATTTTCATTCATTTTAGAAGGTTAAGCATGATAAATGGTAATACCACCGATTATGAAATCAAAACCCTTTTGTGATATGCTTTTTGTTGTATAAAAATTAGTGATCATAGCTAAACTGGATATATAACTTTTATGGTTAGAAGTGGAAAGCATTTCTCAATTTCACCTTCTATCCAAAAAGTTCCATTGATAATCTCATGTTTGATAAGAATTTTCTGATCCATAGCTAAACAGTTAAGATGAGAAATTCCTTCCCCACAAAATCCCTTTATCACTATTTGAATCAAAATTTCCTGTAAGATCATGACACAAAAAAAACAGTTCAATACTCTGATATTTTGGTTAAATTTAGATGTTATTAATTTTGAAATTTGAAGAAGAAAAAAAATATTTTTAAACATATGCTTAGTAAATGTCCATTTGAATTAGATATGTGTTAACAACATCTTTCTTATTATGTATACTGTGGAGTCATTACTCTAATATCTATCTTAGTGTGCAGCCACCTTGAGAATTTGTTTTTATTGTCTGTATTACAGCAGGTCCTAATAAATAAGATTTGTTAAACTGTTATGTTACTGTATTAGTATGTCTGTAATTTGTACTTAAAGAAAGAAAAGACAAGAGAGTCTACTTTACTATTTGATAATGTTCATATTATAGAAATAATGAAAAAAATATGTTTAAACCTTATATTGTTGAAATTCAATAGGATGAATACATTAAAAAATAAACCTTCTACATTTTGGATTATATGGTCTTTTTGGGGTAAAAAAGAGTTGTAATAGAAATATATTCTGAACATTTGTTTTCATTGGGAAGAAAATTGTATTGATTTTGTTACTGATATATCAAGAAAGGTCGTACAAATTATGATTCAGCACTGATAAAGTATCAAGCCTGGGTCATTTTATCTAAATACAGTACTATTTATTTGTATATGAGAATTGTTTTATTCCTCTAAATTTTTTATCGCATGGATTTTGGGTTTTTTCTCATAGCCAAAATAAATTTTCAATGTAGACATTGATTACATTGATATTGGCCATACAATGATTCACACACATACACAATTTACTTTCTTTAAGGTATGGATGGCTTCCATCTATCTGTCATTAAATTAATTTGCAATCCTAATATTAGAATGTGTAATAGAAAAAACAAGCAATGCTTTTTAGAATTAAATCGTCATTTCAAAAGCTATATTTATTTTTTCCATTCCATTGAAAGAAGTATCTTCTGTGGATAGTTTTTGTCTTTGTTATGTAGATGGTCAATGTTTAGATGATAATTCTGTATTGTTATATATTGTTAACAGTAGATGAATTTGGATGCATAGATTGGTAAAAATTAAAAAATGGTAAATATAAATTATATCAGATTTATTTACTTTGGCCTACATAGACAATTAAAGAGAGAGAAAAACTACAAATATTGTAGAATGATTTGGCACTATTGACACCCAACAAAGTTAAAAGGAAGAATGATTCAACCCTTGCCTCTTTACAGATAAATAAGAATATGTGGTATGAGTGCCAATGAGACAACTCTCCATCCAAGTCACAATGTATAAGTTAATTAAAACAATTATAGGTCAAAGTACGGCCTTCAACACAGAGCCTTGGCTCACACCGAACAGCAAGCTATAAAGGGACCCAAAATGACTAGTGTAAAACAATTCAAACAGGAAAACCAACAGTCTAATCTATATAAAAAACAAGAAACGAGAAACACTTATGAACCACACCAACAAACGACAACCACCACTGAACAACAGGCTCCTGACTTAGGACAGGTGCATAAAAATGCAGCATGTTTAAACGTTTTAACAGGCGCCAACCTTCACCCTAACCTGACACAGAAGTGTAACATTACAACATAAAAAGACGCACTATAAAATATCAATTGAAATGGCTTAACTCGATCAAAAAGACATTTAAACAAAAACAAGTAAACATACACTGAACGAATAAGTTTGATCTATGACAAAATATAAATACAATATTAAAACTTAGGTGCCTATATAACATGTACATTACAGGTAGTAATTAAAAAAAATGTAGGAACAGTGTCAAAAAGACAACTCTAACCTGGGACAAAATGGCGTTAGATAAAACAACATACACATGTAAATTTAAATATAATTTTGTTGTTAGGAGTACGGAAGTAAACATTTTTTACAAAATTAATAAATTTGTTGTTCAGAGTACGAGTATAGAAGTGAAAATTTATCGTCATACTAAATACTTTTCAAAGTCGGTACATATAAAAATGTGAGACGAGATATAACACAAAATAAGTTAACATTGAATTACAAAAAGGCATTACAAATTTAGTCAACAGGTCAAATAAACACGAAAGTACGATTTGAGAGTACTCCCATGTATGAAAAAAACCATAGGTGGTCAAAAATATATAGAAAAAAAAATTTATCAACAATTTGAAAGTTGACGACTTATTCAGAAGGGATTTAGTTACGATACTGTTGTCAGGTCATTAAAGATGGCATATTTGGTATTAATATTGATTCACTCATAGGGTCTTTGCATCTGAAATAAACACATATATTCTAAAACCAATTGCTGGCATGATACGGGTTATTTTCTCATATATTTTATGACGGTATGATACTAAACCCCCAAACGGGAGGGATTGTGCTTGATTTGCATATGATGAAGACATAATCTTTCAATCAGTTTAATTGAGGTCTGGAGCTGGCATGTCTGCTAGTAACTGCTAGTAGTCCTTTGTTAATTTATGTATCATTTGTCATTTTGCTTAGTTTCTTTTGTTACCTATTCTGACATCGGACTCGGACTTCTTTTAAACTGAGTTTTACTGTGTGTATTACTGTGTGTTTTTTTTCTACATTGGCTAGAGGTTTAGGGGGACGGTTGAGATCTCACTAAACATGTTTAACCCCGCCGCATTTTTGCGCCTGTCCCAAGTCAGGAGCCTCTGGCCTTTGTTAGTCTTGTATGTTTTTTAATTTTAGTTCATTTATATGTCTTGGAGTTTAGTATGACGTCCATTTTCACTGAACTAGTACACATTTTTGTTTAAGGGCCAGCTAAAGCCCGCCTCCGGGTGCGGGATTTTTTTCGCTTTGTTGAAGACCAATTGGTGGCCTTCGGCTGTTTTCTGCTCTTTGGTCGGGTTGTTGTCTCTTTGACACATTCCCCATTTCCATTCTCAATTTTATATGTCATTTATGGATGCCAATCTTTTTAAGAAATAGGGAATATAGGGTAGACAAACATTATACAATAGTAATTAAATGGATTACCAGGATATAACATCTATGTACTGAAAAGTTGTTGAAAGTCTAAAACAGAGTGCTAAAAGGGTCTAGGTACCTGGGTGATACTTAGGTACCTTGGTGATACTTTGTTAACCAGCTTGATTAACTTCAGCTACCCCCACCCCACACTTAACCTTTCAAGAGAGTAATTTAGGATTGTGGGATGAGGAGAAGGGGGCATTAATAACAGTAAACGTTTAGTGACCGTGTTCATGTATAAACAGCAAATAAGATTTGGATACTTGCGGAAGGCCTATAAACATCTGCTTGTCTGTCGTGATCGTATCAGTCGTATACTGTTGAAGTTTGGAACTGAAATTATGATGATTATTCACCACTACTAGAAGGTGTGTCACATGCAAGGAAGAAAACCATACATGTAAAGTCATGGGTCAAAAACATAATTCAACTTAGCAACCACTATGCTTATGTACAAAAATAGTTTCCGCTCTCTAACTTTCAGTCTATCAACCCATTAGAGTTAATGTTTGAGTTTTGACATTATCATTCACCACTATTAGAAGGTGTATCTGGTACATGGTCGAAATCGATACGCTAATATCCATTTTAAACAGTAGTTGAACTTGGAATACCCACGTGCATGTACAAAAGGGTACAATGAAGGTAATCGTGAAAAAAAAGTCTCAAATTATACTTAATTTTATTATATTGTTTGACCTTCAGTAATGGATGCCACAGAGACACTAAAGTATGGCTTCAAATCTTGATTTACATCTAGAATTTTTACAACGATGTACTACTCTTTATGACAAAATAAGATTTTTCCCTTTGTGAACTTTCAATTTCTTTGTAACAACATTCCAGCAGTGCCTGCATATTGTGTACAAATATTTCCCAGTTTATAAAATATTTCAGGGCTTTTGAATAATGAATTTCCTAAAAAAATTGCTGCTTTCAAGGTTCATAATGGTAAAGTAGAAGTCATTCCTTCTATAGTTGTAAGACGTAATTATGATTTGGTTCATCGTTATTATATATCTGTTGCACATAACCACTGAACTCTTTCCTCGATATAACCGAATGCGATTTATTTAAAACATGGGTTATCTGGTGCCACTAATGGAGCAGACATTGTTCATATTTCTAGTGCACTTGAATTCACCCCAAGTTTTTGTTTAAGGAGTTAGCGCTACTTTTGCTTCATTTTCAGCTTTGTATTTTGCGTTTTGTAATTTTTCAATGCATGTATTGTCTCTAAAGGTAACAGTGAGAGAACATCAAAGTGTTTCTGACGATGATATGTTCTAAACATTTACAACATAGACAGGTGAGTGATACAAGTCTGTAGTTCATAGCAATACATCTGCTTCCTTTTTTGAACATGGCAGTAATGTTGCCTGTTTCCAATCTGCTGGTACTGTGCCGTATCTAAGACTAGTATAAAAAATGTAATAATTTGCAAATGCCTTCTGTTGTAAAACAATCAATCTGATTCAAACAAAAAATTCACTGAAACTGACATTATTAGTAAGATTCTTGATTTCTTGATAGACAATATATTTGTTACTTTTGGAGGACGTGTTTTTCAACAAACAATCGGGATTCCCAAAGGAACCAACTGTGCTCCTCTTCTTGCCGACTTGTTACTTTATTTATAATAGGCTGACTTAATACATGAACTTCTTAAGAAAAAAGAAAAGTTAGCAGCATCCTATAAATCCACTTTCCGCTTTATAGATGATGTTCTCTCCCTAAATAATTCAAAATTTGGTGACTATGTTGAACGCATCTATCCCATCGAACTTGAGATAAAGGATACAACAGATACAGTTAAGTCTGCCTCATATCTTGACTTACATTTAGAAATTGAAAATGAGGGTCGGTTGAAAACAAAATTTTACGACAAAAGTGATGATTTCAGCTTCCCAATTGTGTTTTGAACTTTCATTTCTATGTAGCATATTTTCTATCATGATTTCCTTGATAGAGGGTTGCTGCTCACAATGAAGCTATTAAACCAAGAGTTCCAAGTGGTGAAGTTTTATCGTCCCTTCTTAAATTTTACGGACGCCATCACGAGTTGGTTAACCGTTATAGAATATCCGTTTCACAGATATGTTCCAATTGTTGTAACTACAATCCCGTCCCCTTTCCCCCCGAATGTGACCTACCGAATTAGACTTATCACCGGGTTTGTACTAACATGAGCAATACGACGGGTGCCACATCTGGAACACCTGAGATCATCCTCAGTTTTTGGTGGGGTTCGTGTTGCTCAGTCTTTGGTTTTCTTTGTTGTGTTTTGTGTACTGTTGGTTGTCTTTTTTTTTTCTTTTTTAGCATTTGACGTTGTCAATTTGTTTTCGACTTATGAGTTTGAATGTCCCTTTGGTATCCTTCGCCTCTCTTTGAATCAAATAGACAAATATAAAATACTTGCCAACTACCAGCGCGGATTTAAAGCAAGTCAAAACTACGAAAAACAACTTATCACACGATTCCACGAACTTCATTAGTTCCAGGCAATGGAAGCAGATTGATATGGTTATCTTCATAATTTCCAAAGCCTTCGATTTCGTCCCAAGTAAACGGCTACTAAACAAGATTCAATATCTTGTTCTAAATGTGCGCCCTTGAGAGAATGTCCTCTGAAAGTATCTACCTATAAAAAAAGTTAAAAAAAAAAGAACACTAAAAATTGTGTTTTATCGAAAATTTCAACTAAGGGTTTCATTCTGCAAACCACCCGCCTGTTACATTGGTATTATCAGTTCCTCAATCTCCCCAATCTCAAAGAGTATATAGATACTTTTAACAAGTTACAATAATATTATCAGCCGTCCGTCTTAATAAACCAAACTTTAACAAATTAACTTTAACAAATTGTTAACTCTTTATATATTGTGACTTGGATGGAGAGTTGTCTCATTGGCACTCATACCACATCTTCTTATTTATATTTATACAGTTGTTATCAAATAGTTCGTTTCTATGTATGTTGGCGTTTGTTTTTTTTGCACTTCAGTGTTCCTGTTGTTCCTTTGTTTTCCTCTTATAGTTGATGTATTTCCCTCGGTTTTAGTTTGTAACCCAGATTTGTTTTCCCGCAATCGATTTACGACTTTTGAACACCGGTATACTACTGTTGCCTTTATTTATACATCCTTTCAGCTACTAGAACATTAGTAAGTATATTCAATGATCATATGATGTACGGTTTTATTATTAACCTTTAACAATCATTCTTACGCCTGAATAAGTCTGAAAGAAAGTTTAAATATACCAAACGAACAATGGTTACAGAGCACCTGTTACAGTTAACAAGTTAACGACATTTTTATCTTCGTGAGTAAGCTTGTTTATAATGTGATTTTAACAATCATATCAAAATGAATGGACTTTGCTGTTTACTTTTTCTGACTTTATTTGTATCTATTTCATGTGTGACTGGTAACACAGAACGTATGTATATTAATACTTGTTGATTATTTATAATTGCTTTGATTTTTATAAAACAAAAATGGTTTACTTATGAAAGACATACAAACACTTTATTGTCTAAATCATTAAAACTTTTTTGCTTTGTTATTACAGATGAGAAGTTGCCGTTAAAATATAGACCCCCAAAACATTACAACAAAAATGAAAAAAACATTCCCCAAGTAAAGTTGCAACTAATATCTGTCAAAGGAAATTGATTGATATTTTAAACTCAGTTCCGATGTTCCGCTCATACTTAAACTATAACCGTTTCAGAGCTCACATTATAGTGTACCCTTCCTGTCAGTGTTAGTCATGGATTGATAATGTTCATCATTTCTTGTTTGTTTGTTCAAAAGATACTACATGTACCTGCAAAGAAACTTTATTCACTAATCGTAATTGGCTTTCTGAAAACTTTGATTTAGATACAAAATTGTTCATTGCGGAAACTTCGAACTTTGTCAGTGTATATGTGATCCTATTTCACTGCCGGACGATCGATTTACAGGAGAGAAATCATAACTGTCTACTGAGTCAAATTGACCTTCAAAGTAATATTTAGTCAGTAGACACAAATTTTAGAGTATTTAATTCGTTGTCAATTAATTAAAGTGATTTGTTTGCAAAGAACATTTGCAGAAAGTTACCATGTTGGTGAAAAAAAACCCGTGGAAATTAGGCCAACACATGTATCTATTTGTCCACATTTATAATTCAACCACAGAAGTGGAACTCTTGTATTGAATAAATAAACAAATACAGTTGACTTTTTTCTTAGCGTATACATAATGTTACAGGTAGTTCACAGTCTGGTATAATTACATCAGACGATGAAGACAAAACAGATTCAGTCGATAAGCCATCAGACCAACAAAATAAACAGCTATCTAAAGAGCTGTCTGATCAGAAATGCAACTTAACTGAACCAGCGTTGACATCTAATAAGAAACAACAGCAACCCAAACAAACACCATCAACCGGACAGGAAATTCATTTACATGAATCCGTGCGGTCTTCTGAAAAGAAAAACAGGCTATCTGAACCAGCTTTGTCGTCTACTCACAGAAACCAAAAAATTAAATCATTACCATCATTCAAGCAGAATGACAAAGTATCGGACTCATCAACATCACCATCTGATAAAAGAGACCAACAAACGGAACCGGAAAAAGAACAATCGTCATCTGGTAAGAATACCAAACTAACTGAACCGCCGTGGTCATCCAAAAAGAAAAACAACCCAACATCTTTTACGGGATTTGCTTCAAACCCAGGAATGCCTTGATAATATCGACACAGAATTGTATTTAACAGAAAAGAAACATTTGAACTTATTTTTTAAACAATGTTTAAAACAAGTTGAAACATTGTTTTTTGTCACACATAAATCAAATAAAATGGCCGTATCATATTTTATCGTCATACGCAAGAGAAATAGATAGGGTGCATCATACTTTATTGTCATATATGAGCAAAACAGACTAAACTGCTATTTTCATCTAGCTGAGACAAATAGATTAGGCAGCCACATATGTAATTGTCATACATACGATAAATAGATTAGGCAGCCACATATGTTATTGTCATACATATGACGAATAGATTAGGCAGCCACATATGTAATTGTCATACATACGAAAAATAGATTAGGCAGCCACATATGTTATTGTCATACATATGACGAATAGATTAGGCAGCCACATATGTAATTGTCATACATACGACAAATAGATTAGGCAGCCACATATGTTATTGTCATAGATATGACGAATAGATTAGGCAGCCACATATGTTATTGTCATACATACGACAAACAGATTGGGCAGCACATATGTTATTGTCATACATATGACGAATAGATTAGGCAGCCACATATGTTATTGTCATACATACGACAAACAGATTGGGCAGCACATATGTTATTGTCATACATATGACAAATAGATTGGGCAGCGCATATGTTATTGTCATACATATGACAAATAGATTAGGCAGCCACATATGTTATTGTCATACATACGACAAACAGATTGGGCAGCACATATGTTATTGTCATTCATATGACGAATAGATTAGGCAGCACATATGTTATTGTCATACATATGACAAATAGATTAGGCAGCCACATATGTAATTGTCATACATACGACAAACAGATTGGGCAGCACATATGTTATTGTTATTCATATGACGAATAGATTGGGCAGCACATATGTTATTGCTACACATATGACAAACAGATTGGGCAGCACATATGTTATTGTTTTACTTGTCATCCCATGGTTTCAGTGGACATTCTCCAAAGTTAATCTGCCAAATATATCTATGAACTGTTACATGGATTTGTAAAAAAGGAGAAGCAGCAAATAGATGTTCAAATCCTGTAAATTTCTTGAAGAAAACGCATTGTGCAACAATGTCTTTAAATGCATAAAGCAAATATACTTTCATTACTTATTGGAGCTTGGTAATCAAATTCAGTAAGCTTTTATTGTGTATCAATGAAAAATTTTACATTGCCTGCTATAAACCACAATAAATAAAAACAAATGGAAAATGTGTCCCAAAATTTACTGACTGTCTCCCAGTTTAGTTTGTTTGTATTATCATCCAAGTCCACGTTCTTTTCATCTGTGGGTTCTATTGCATGTACAGAATTTGGTTCGTTTAAATGTCTATTAAAGTTTAAATGGTGCATTTTACAGCAGGGAAATTTATATCCGATGCATTTTCGAATCCATTTAGGCATGGCTTCATGGTCCTTTTTATAGTATATCCTCGAACTTATAATAACAGAAATAACAATACAACCACTCAAGGCCATATCTTGGATCAGTAATTCATACAAAGCAGCTAATTTTGGTGTAGCAGTTGCGGGCAGGATATCTTCAGCTATAGTAATGAAAACTACCACTGCTAACAACGCTGTTATGGAAAACCCGATCCTTTCTCCAGACTCCTGCGGTAAAATAAAAACAAAGATATTGAGGAATCCTAAAAAGTTGACGGGAACTAAAAGATTCATAATAAAAAAATAAGATCGTCGTTTGAAATTGAATTTGACTTTGACTCCAGGAATAGTTAATTGTCCGAAGACATTACCAGTGATTGTTGCACTTGTCAGTTCCCATCCACTGTTAGTACCCATGAGATCTGTAGATACTAGGCCGTCGTTAAACACCAACGTTTTGTTAGAATAACCCCAGGTCAGTATGTCCATTGTACATATCTGTGTATCGAATGGAAAGTTCGAACTATCAATATCACATGTAAACGTAAAACTGTCTCCTGGGTAAAAATATACCCGTCCGTCTTCCGCCACCGCTAACATCATATTATCCACAGTCATAATTTTTATATTTTTTACGGCGTTACCATTAACCATTGGTGGTTTCCATAAAACATCCTGCGGAAAGTCAATATTGTATATGTTGTTATGGTCTGCTGGATTCCATACTAAATTCTTGTCTATCCATGAAAAACTAAAGAACCCAGATAAAGTAGCAGTTCCCTGAACTTCACTGATGTCCTGTAGTGCTATCATGTTAAAAGACGCATCAATATACGTAATGTCTGACTGGTCAATCACTGGACGTATTTGTTTATTGTATCCACTTGTTAGATTTTTATACAGTATGTCTACATCAGTATATGAATATGTGCTGCACAGTTTTACCATAAGTAACAAAAAGATCAAATTGAACACAAACTGTCGATGTACGTTATCCATCGCCACAGATCTTAAACGGCACATTTAACCTTTTCCCAGTTAGCGCTTACTGGAGTATTCTAAATAATTATTTATACATTTTATTAGTGGTCAGCTTAATTCAAAATCGATTATACACGTTTTACGCAAGTACTACTTGTGCATAAACAAGAATATCATTGTTTTTTTTGGGAACGAATGAAGTATTCATTGTTAATAACTTAGAGAAATGTAAACATTTGTTTATTTCATTTATTTAAGTATGTTAAATAGAAACATACGAGTCATTAAACTTTATGTATATAATAACTTGTATTCATTATATATTAATATTTATCATTAGAATAGTACTATATTTGTTGTATTAATAAATGTCGTCAATAGAATTATAACAGGAAAGCAAGAAATATTCTTTTCAAATATGACTGAAAAATAATTTTGAAAGCTTAAACAGACAAGTCCGTCAATCAAAGTGAAGAAATGTATCTAGTACATAAACAAAAAAAAAGTTGTTTTGCGTTTGATTGTTGTGACAAAGGGTATGATTGTGGCGGCTTTTGTTTTCTGAATTTTAAAATTAATATTTGGTTGTATTTATGTGCACATTGCACGGTACCACGGCTATAAGTTTCTTTTTTTTTTATTAATTGTCCTTAAGTCGTTGTTATAAACAAGTATAGTTTCAAATCAAATGTCCGTAATATCTTATAACTATATATTATTGTCAAATTATCAGCTTTGTTAGACTTAACATTCTACTCAATGTACTGATCAATGTCATTATTCTTAATATTCAGTCTACTTTTGTTAATTTCTGATTGCAGACTGTAAAAATTGTAATGACGAATAAGATGTTTCAATTAAGTTGGGTAAGCAAATAAAAAAAGAGTTACTTTGCTTTGAACAGTCAATCTTACTGAATTTTTATCCCGATCTTTAAACCTTTTAAAACGTTTTTCGAAAGGTTGTAAGCAATTTTACGGGCACCAATTGCACCCCGTAAATAAATAATAGATAATAATAATAAAATTCTTTATTTAACGAAATTAATTCATTTAACAATGAAATATTAATCTTCCTTGAGGCCTAATAATAAAATAGAAAAAAATACAAACAAAATAAAATACATTATACAGCTATATAAAGCAGCTTGAATATTGAATAAGTACATATGCATTCAATAGAAGAAGAAAAAAGAAATACATTAGTTACGGTATCTTTATTCTGTACAGTTAACAAATAGTTTGAACATTTGATATTTAAATGTGTCTAAATTATTTATTTCTTTAATATTATTTTGAAAATTATTCCGGCCATATGACCAGAATATTTAAATGTTCCTATAAAAAAATCAGAATTAGGTCTTGGTACATGAAGAGAAGTCCCGATGTTGTCGACCTGAGCGAATAATTATAAAGATCAGTACAAGCAGTAAATGTATTAGATATATAATCAGGTGCTAGACCATTCATACATTTAAACATTAAGACAGCTTGAAAATATTGTATCCCGTAAATAAAGTCATCCATTCATGCTTTTAAAACATTAAGGTTGATGGAAAATCAAAAGAAACAGATAAAACTAATCTTCCAGCACGCTTTTGGAGCTTATGAATCCTTTCCAGATTACAGTTTGTGGAAAGACCCCATACTGTACAACAGTAGTCAATAATGGGTAATATATAGCTATTGTAAAAAAGAATAAGACCTTTTAATGGTAAATATTGTTTCAAACTTTTTAATAGGTATCATATTCTAGTTGAAATAATTTCACATATTTTATCAATTTGATTTGACCATGACAGATTTTTATCAATATGGTTTTTAAGAAGTTTTTCAACTTCAACATTATCTAAAGCGATATTATTGCAGCTTTCCAGTTTTCTGTCTGATCCAACAAGCATACATTTTGATTTCTTGTTATTTATCATCATATCATTTTCTTTACACCATTTAATAACATTTTCTAAGTCTTTATTCAAACATATATTTAAATTTACAATAGATTTAGATGACAAATGCAAAATTGTATCATCAGCTTAAAGGTTATATTCTGTATATTCTAAAGTTAATGGTAAGTCATTGATATAAATAAGGAACAATAAAGGTCCAAGTATAGAACTTTGAGGAACTCCAAAAGTTACAGTTTTATATTCCGATTCAGTGGTCCATAACTTAACTTTTTGCATTCTCTGAGAGAGGTATGATGAAAACCATTTTACAGAGTGGTCCTCACATTTGTATAATTTTAGTTTTGACAAAAGGATATTGTGATTTACAGCATCAAATGTCTTCTTAAAATCTAAAAAAAGAATAGCAGTAAAATTTCCATTGTCCAATTCTTCCAACCATTTATCAATTATTTTAATTGATCATATTTTTGCTTCAAACAACCATGGATTGTCTAATAATACTGCTGAAATTGTATTTTAGAGAACGGACTAAAAACAAATCTAATGTGAACAGCAATACTTGTCCCTTTTTTGATTTGGATAATACATTTTCACACTGAAAACAGTAACCTAAAATTAACAACTAAAAATATTATGTTTCGTTCATTAACGTTACTATTACTCCAATTCTAAAAATAGGGCTATATTGCAATCACTTCCGTCCGTCCGTTTGTCCATTGACTATTTTCATCGAACTTTTCCCAGGTAGAATGTACCGCTTCACAAGTTGACTTTATATTTGATAAGCAGCTTGACAGTGGCGAGTCGAGTTGTAAACGTGTCACCACTTGTTGGGTCTGTCTAATGCTTAATTTTTGTACTTCTTGTTTTCCGATGCTTTGAACTACGAATGTGGATATGCTTAATACGACAAAGCAAACATTATTTTGTTTTTCCTTTTTCTTTTTTGGACCCTTTTTACGGTGTTTATGTTTCCCAGCGCGTCTGTACATTGTAGTAACATCCAAGTAATAATCAAGCCAGGTGAGTTCGTTAATTTTGTTTTAGATACAAGGATTTTTCAGGAATATGAAAATAAGGACATGTGGCATGACTGTCAATGAGACAACTATCCACTAGAGACCAAGGAACAAGAGTGTTAACAATATGAGGACACTGTAAGGCCTTCAAAAAATGCATACCATATAGTAAGCTATAACAGGGCTCGGCATGACAAAATGTGATGCAATACAAAAGGGGAAAGCATCGGCCTGATTTATGCTTAAAACAGCAAACGAAAAACAAATAAGGCAGACAGCAATGAGCGACAACCACTGAATTATATAATGTGACGGGATTAATTATGATTACGAGAGTTCAATCCTCCTTTAATCTGGGACAGTGCCAAAGATATAAGTATAATCTGAATAAAAATATAATATCATATTATGATTTAACGGTTTTGTTGCTTATATATGGAACGCCACAGCTGCCTTACGATAACGATAATTATATCATTAAGGGTAGATATATATCATGAAGCAAATGTTCTATACTAAAACGACATTTGACTAAACTACTCTGTTAATTTGTTATATCACTAAGATAAATTTATATACTATAAAGACGTTTTGATATAACATTGAGTTACCTTTTCATACTATTCTGTCATTTTACTTTGTCATGAAGATATTCATTCATACTATGAAGACATCTTGATATAACATATGGAGCTACCTTTTCATACTATTTTGTCAACTCAGTATATTATTATGTCACATTACTATCTTACTACGATAAATTTGTATACTATACTATCATCTCGATTTAACATGGAGCAACTTTGTCATACTATTCTATCATATTACTATCTTATAAAGACATATTTCAGTATCAAGCTACCAATTTCTTATACCACGAGGTGTCGTTTATATACCAGTAGACTATTTGATTACACTATAAGATCATTTCATCGTACTGCAAGACAATTCTATAAATAGCGGCGAAAATTCCGTGCAAAATATATCAGCAACATCATTGTGATGGCAGACGACGTGATAAAAAAGACCTTAGGGAATTGCTTTCAAGATGAAAGAATCTATCGACTGTAATGTTGCATTTACCCTCAGCGATGTGGAGTTGAAAAGACTTGGTGTCGACACGATAGGCGACAAATACAGGTTGGTCCCCTCTAAAAAAAATAAACAAACAAAAACAAAATAACACACAAACATGAAACAAAACGATGGCCTTTATTTTTTTCGCGAAATTGTAATTATTATGAAAACAACGTTTACTTAAAGCACGTGTTTGCAAATCATGTTGACGGGTACGGTACAAAATGTGTAACCCGTATCCGTACCCGTACCAACTTTCCCCGTACCCTAATCACATTTTAGCCGTATTCTTGAATATTATTATTAACTAAAAGCTGAAAGATAGTCAAGATCGGCAGATGTTTGAAATGACATTATTGTTTAAATCATACTTATGTGTAAAATGAAGTTAACAAATCAATGCTTAAAATTGATAAATCTTTACTTTCCTATCCAAATTTTACGACTATCTCGCGTTTAACATAAACAACCTCGGGTCGGGGGGATGGGGTGCACTTCAATTCTTAATTGATAGAGGGTGCCGCTGGGGCTCTGATACCCCCACCCTTTTCATAATTTGCGTATGTAACAATGTAACCTTTTTCCACATTGGTTGGGTTTCGTGTGGTGTGATGGAAAATTGAATACCAAAGCGTCGAAGAGGAGAAAAATGTGGACACAAACACAGTCGTGAACACCCAGACTTTCGGCTGTGAAAATATATCGGGCTTTTTATTTAACAAGTAATGGATATTTTTTTACTTTATCATATATTTCTGATTTTTTCTCCTACCTATTCACATATTTTTAGCTGGAAAATGTGACCTATTCCAGCGTCCTATAACCTTGTATATAGGAAGCCCCC